CCCACCATCACTCCAAATGATTTGGCCGTCTGACTTCTGCCTTTGGCCTCAGACTGTCTCTCCACCGAATCGGTGCTGCTGCGGCTTTGGGTGGTGGCGATGCCGGGGCGGTGTTGGGCGCCTTGGGCGGCGGCGCTGCTGCCGCTGGCGCTGCAGCGGCCGGTTTCGGCGGGGGCGCGGCAGGTGCGGCCGCGGCCGCAGGCGCCGCAGGCGCTGCGGGCGGCGGCCCGGGCGGCTCCGGTGGTTTCGCCGGTGGCTTGGGCGGCGGCTTTGGCGCAGCGCCCTTCGGTCGCGTGGCCGGCGAGGTCGAGCGCCGCTGCGCACGGCTGCGGCGTGGGCTGCGGTCGCGGCTCTTGCGGCGGACGCCAGATTTTCGGTGCTTTGGCGACGATGGGCCTTAGCTTCCGTCAGGACCAAGAGGGCAAAAGATTTGGGGATTACCAGAGTACGTCAGGGTTTCCTCCGAAATACATTTTTTTCTTCGATTTTTAGAGTTTCCTAATTTTGGATGATCCAACAGGCTGCATACCCAGACACTCGTAGTGGACTCCCGTATATCGCTGTTCGATACCGGGCGCGGCCGTTTCTTCTCCTCGAAAGCTGGAGAAATCCCTGGAGGTAGCGACTCCAATCATGGATACGCCATGTACCATCCACGGACCCAACACAATGGGTCATTTTGAGCATTAGTCCACCAATTTGAGGTACATAATTTTGATCTACAACCATATGATCCTAATTTCCACTTTCTAGCCGAGAATCTATAGAATTGATCGATCCATCTACGTGATAACCCCAATTCAACCCAAGTTCCACTGTCATTTATCCATTATTTATCTATAGATGATACTCCCCCATTCAGCGCCTGATCAATTTCTTGTTGGTCATATTACAATTGTATTGCTGGCTATACACCCAATATCAATTCAAAAAACTACACTTGATAAACTTTGCTCTGGCTTATCACAATTCCTGATCATCTATGTAGATGAAAATTCCGCATCGAAAACCCTGATTGTACGATTCACAAAAACTCGATTGTATACCACATTTTCTGAATTTTTGCGGAAACCACCAGCCCACTTAGTGACTGTAACCGCAACCGCACTTCGTTCACCCATTGTATGCATTAACTCCACGAATCGGGGACTTGAAGCGGAATGATCCTCCAAGTACCTCATATCAGCTCCCCATTTTGCGATAAATCGCCAGCTGCTTAGTATACCAGGTCAATATCAACCTCGTTCAAAAGGGGAAAATCCAGGAAAATCCCTTTTTGCTTCGCCAACATCTCACTCCCCAAGTCTTCCATTTTGTCCCACTTTTTTTTTTACAGCTCCCTGTGCCCATGGCCAAGGCTCCGGAGGGGAACCTGCCGCCTTGTCATCAATCTCCTTCTGGAGCTTCTCGATGACCGTCGCAAGCCCTGGGCCCACGGGGGCGCGGGATGATGCTTTCGCCGAAGAAACGACCCAAAAAGATACAAAAGTAGCATGAAAAGTGTAGAGGTAACGAAAATACTTATCTATTGTTTTGGGTTGCTTATCTAGTTGAATATATATATATATACACACACTTAAATTTCATCTATACATATCTGTGAAAGTGTATACAGTGTATAATATATATATGTATATGTATATATGTAAATGAGATCTATGCCATAGGGATGTAGTATATAGATGCATACGTATTGATACATGTAAATGTGGATATATGTACTTACATGACATACACACATGTATAGATATGGCTTGACACATAAGAGGGGTAAAGTTTCAACAAGAAACCAATAGGCCACCCTGTGAGGCAGTGAGTTTTTTCCGCGCAAGGATCTCTCATGGATCGAGAAAGCAAAGGTTGCACGAATGGGACTGAACAACTGATGAACTGGCTAGCAAGTGGTTTGCAACCCATGACCAACGTGCTAAAGATTTGCCTAAGCTTTGAGCCAATCAACATAATTGCTCCTGTAAGCTTGTGTGGTGATGTCTATCGCGTCGCGTCCATCGCATCGAAGAATCACCACATCATTGGCAAAATCATCACCAGTGACAATAGAAAGGTGATATTCAACATTCCAAAAATGGGGACATTGATCACTGAAAATGGGCAAAATCATCTTGTTTCACCAACCTGAAGATCCGTAATATCATGCAACGAGGGATGTTGCAACCCCTGAACCCCCGCCCACCTTTCAGCGTTGGACAAGTCCGACCATCAGCCACAAGCGAATGACAAACACCCCACGAATATCAACGGAATTATCATCCAATCCAATTCATCAACCTCCATTTCCAGCATTCCGGTCACATTTTAGATTTGATTCGTGGTTCAAATATAATTACAATATAATAGACATGTATATAGATATAAATATAGATATGGATATAGATATCAAATTCATCCAGGTCAGTGATAGCGGGATTTTGGGAGGACAAGCTTCGATTCAATTTCTCACGGGTTTGCTTCCACTTGGGCTTGTCCTGGACGCCGAGGGACTGGAGGTCGAGGGATTCGAGGGTTGCGTCAACTTTTCACCGCTGGGGTTTTAAAGGCGACATTCGGAACCATAGTAGATGAATGCTTAATTCATTGTATAATGTATCTACATACCATGATATTGTGTGTATATATATATATTAATCATTGAATGAACACCATTGATTTATGGTTAAAATTTGAGCGGTGGACCGAATGGGATCAACCATACTGGGTATAGCTAACGGGATCGAGCTGATCAAAGCACAGAATTGCAGGTGATGAATCCCTTTCTGGTTAATGATGGTTAATGATGGTTAATATCTGGTTAATGATGATGTTTAATATATGGTTAATATATGGTTAATGATGGTTAATGATCTTGGGTAAATCCACTATGATGATGGTTAATGATGCTGGTTAATGATGATGATTAATGGTGGTTGATAATATATCTGGTTGGTGGTTGACCTACCCCTCTGAAAAATGATGGAGTGAAAGTCAGTTGGGATGATGACATTCCCAACTGAATGGAAAACTAAAAGTCATGTTCCAAACCACCAACCAGCTAACCATTATTCATTGGGGATGGTGTATTGTTGGATTTACAGCCGATATCTCAGTGTCTTGCTGGTATTGCCAGAATGTGGGGGTTTCCTAAGTCATGGGGGTTTATCCATTTATAATTAGATGGATTTTCCCTTATAAACCATCCAGCTATTGGGGTATCCCCATGGCTATAATTTTTGGGCTTCCCACAAAAAAAATTCTGGTCACTCGGAGGATCTTCCCACGAATCGTAAGTGATTAAAAACAATATTCATAACCAATTTACTATATGACATATGGATAAATAATATCATACACTAATATCATATAACATCAATGAAAGTTATTTAGTAAGTCCCCGAAATCGGTTTCTTCCATTATTCGAGTGGCGTAAGTTGTCGCACTGACCAGTTTATTCATCAAATTATTATGATTCCATATTATTGACCAATCAACGAGGGACATCATTTCAATAATTATTGATATATATATAAGTGGGATCTATTAAACCCATATAATCATAATTAATCATATGATAACAGATCATGATATTCTGGCTGGTGGTTTGAACCCCTCTGAAAAAAATTAGTCAGTTGGGATTATTCTTCCCAATATATGGAAAAAAACATGTTCCAAACCACCAGCCAGTATTTCTATACTCACATAGATTCCCAATAGTATACCCTCTGGTAAACTAACATAGCTATGGAAAATCACCATTTTGTATGGGAACACTCACTATAAATGGCCATTTTCAATAGCTATGTTAAATTACCAGAGGGTATATAGTGGGAGCGATTCAGACCCGTGGGGCCCCTCCTCTCCGTGCTTCTTCTTCAAGAATTCGGCCAGGGTGGTGAACATTGTCACCTCGCTGATGGCGGTGATGGATATATTCCTGGGATATAATGGTGATAATCATAGGGATATCCAGGGATATCAATGATGATCGATGTTGGATATAATAAGTTATTATGGGATTTACATGGATGGATGTCATGGCCATTATTCAAGGGATGACGGATGGGTCAAGTTATGAAATTTGCCTATGACTTGGGGAATAACCATCCAGCTATAACAGCTATAACTTAGGGTACCATATCTGAGTACTAGGGTTTTGACATAATAAGCATATCTACAAAGTGGTGCCCGCAATGGATAGCCAGGGTGCAAATAACTACGTGAATTCTATGGTTTATGGTAGATATACCTATAGTTTTCATGGGCTGTAGGCCCATGGTTTTCCCTGCTTTTAAATAGCAGCTAGTTATGGATGTGATCCACATATCTAGACCATAAGCATACATAACCGGTTGTATGTGTACATATATATATACATATATATATATACACATATACATACATATATATATACATACATATATATGTATATGTATATATACATATATATATATGTATATGTATATGTATATATATATATACATATATATGTATATGTATATGTATATATACATATACATATATATATACATATACATATATATGTACACATATGCCTTCATCTATGGACCTATCTGTAGATGGATACAAGTAGCTACTTGGGCTTCAACCTGCTAACTTGCTGGGCATGACATTTCTTCGGCACCTGAAAAATGGGGGATTTGCGAACAACACGGCAATGTTGATAGGGAAAATTGTGATAAACCATTAGATCTTGGGGCATCGCATTTTCAGTCAAACCCACATGTTTTTTCCTAAACTGGGGAATCCCCCAAAACCATGGATTTCAATACGTAAATGGTCTAACGACTTGGATGATTTAGGGTATCGCCATTTTAGGAAACCCCCACACGTCTTTTACCATCCTTCGGTTGAAACTCGATTTACTGCAGCCCAGGAACCGATTCTGTGAACTGCTCCAGTGCTCTTTGCTTCTGGCCGCTCTTCAGAGATTCTTCCCCTTGGCCAGCGAGCTGCAGTCGATTTTCTTTTTCGGGACTTGGGACTTGGGTAAAGATACAAAACGATATTCGGACAACCCATGGTTTAGTAGGAAATGATTTATAAATATCAAATATCATAAATGATGGATTTTCCATATCTATCTTAAATCCAGTGGAGGGTAAAGGTTCTCTAGGAATCTGTGTAGATATGACCTGCAGAAGGACACATTCATCTGATGTCTTGAGGTAACCTTGATATACCTTCAGTAATCAAAACAATCACAACAGTGATTACCAGGTGTAATCATGACTATATTTCAAATATTTTCAAATTGCAGGGCATCACCACACACGAACCGTTTTTTCTCCTGGTGGAATGCTGCATCTGGATCCCTTCGACAACCTCGAAGGAAACCTCTTTTTGTTTGGCAGTTAAAAAAACACGGTGTCCGGTAGATTTTCGCTGAAATCAATCGATTTCATCACATGTTCAACACCTGCATTTTCCAGTGAATCCAAATGAACGCTGATCGCACTGCTGCAGCCATAGGAAATGTGGATGAGAAGAAGCCAACATTTGAAGGGTCGATAATAAGAAAAAAATCATCAACATCATCACCATAAACAGCGAACCTTAAGTATGACTCGTAATCGATGACTTTCTGGAAATCCTTCTTATAACCCCAGACACAACTGCCACCGTACCCCCCAAATCCACTGGTTAATCCCTTCAGGATCCAATTGAATAATTCAGACGCCATACATCATGTACCATGTCATCTTTTTAATTACATATACATATACTTATAATTTATACACATCTACATATATGTATTTGTAAATGTAAATGTATATATGTATGTATGTATGTAGGTAGGTAGGTATGTATGTGTATACTACACACATACACATATGGAGGTTTCCTAAAATGGGGGTACCCCCAAATCATCGTAGTATTGAAACCGCGCAACTTTTGGGAATCTCCCATTTCACCAACAGCTACATCCCCATGTTGAAACTCGACGAAGTGCACGGCACATTGAAACGAGTCGAGCGTCCATCGTGCTCCAGCTGTTCAGCCTTCGCTAAGTCTTGAGATTTCGCTTTGAGATTCGGCAAGCCCTCGCCCAGCTGCAAGTAGTTGTTCATCAGCCTCTCCGTACGGTCCTTGGGAGCCATGGCGTCCCCAAAAGGTTGTCTTGGGTCCAAAGATTGATGGATTATGGGGAAACTTGCGGGATATATTTTCAGTGATGTTTTTGGGTAACCAAAATTGATGGATTTTGGAGGGTTGACCAAGTTTTGGGAGTTTTCATCCAAGTTACTTGTAATTTTTGATGGTACAGCCATGATTTTTGGGTCCAGAATGTCAGGAAATGTACAAATGGGGTTGAGCTAAAACTTTAGTTGCCTTGGGCACTAAACCAATCTAGGAGATATGTTGCTATTCCAGCAACTAGTTTTAGGCAGAATTTCTTAGCCCATACCCCAATGACCAAACATGGGGAGTGAACAAACAGCCAGCCAGTTGAGTAGGACATATATTTACAAACACAAGTCACAACCAACAGGAGATATGTTCTTTGGATGCTTTTAAGCAAGAAATGATGGAGAGTGAAGAAAGAGTATATGGGTATAAGATGTATCGGAAATCACAGCCTTTATCAGAAAAAAAGACCATGGATGGGTACGGAAAAAAAACCCCAAAAAACTGGGGATTTCTCCTCCAGAACTAGGCGTGGAATGGAAAAACAAATGCTTGGGATGGTTGTGATCAGGAACTGGCGGATGTCAACATCTGAAGCCCGAAAATGAAACAGATCTTGTCGCGATGTAAGTTTATCTGTGAACATGTTCAGGTATTTTGTTCATTCGTACATTTTGTGTATATATATATATAAGATGGCTTTGTCTGAAAATAGTGTACCCAAATCCATGGGATTGCACTCATTTTCCCTATTAAAATAAACATCTATAGGTTTTTTCCCAATTTTCAGACACAGCCAATCTTTGGGGGTTGATTACATGAGAAATGGGACATCCAGCAACAAACCCAAATAAAAACCCCCAAGTTGGCAAATAAACAACATACATGGGCTATAATAGGGTCTATTTTAAGGTAAAATGGGTGTAACCCAATGGATCAGGGTACACGATGATTTTTTAAAGATACCCGGCCTGGTAAACGTTTACAGTTTGCGAACTTGAAAATGGTCTGTTTATAGTGGAATTAGTTAGCCATTAAACATGGTGATTTTCTATATGTAAACGTTTACCAGGGGGTAAAACGTTCACCACTTGTTGGAAAAATCCTGGCATCCATGATCTGGTAAATCTCCATTAGACACCATTAAACCACCATTAAACACTATTAAACCACCAAGGCTGAGGTTAAGGAACGGTCTTTTCTCGCATCACAATTTGCTTCACCAAGGCTATGCCCTGGTCCAAGGCATGTCGATAGCTCGCATGGTCCTGGCTCGCGGTGAAAGAAGGTGAAATGGGGATCAACGGTGTATACCCTCTGGTGAACTAACATAGCATTGGAAAATGGCTATTTATAGTGGATTTTCCCATTAAGAATGGTGATTTTCCATTGCTATGTTAGTTCACCAGAGGGTATTCATCTCGATTTCTGCTTCTATATCTGGTATATATCCATAGTAGATATACACAGTACCCTCTGGTTATGTCAAAATAGTTATTGAAAATGGCCATAGAAATAGTGGATATACCCATTAAAAATGGTGATTTTCCATAGTTACGTTAGTTTACCAGAGGGTATACCATATAGCACATTGATATATACATATATATATATACATATATATATATACATATATATATATGGACTTATATATCCATCTCTCTCTCTCTCTCTCTAGAGATCTATTGGTGTATGAAACTCGACCCGCGAAAATTTCGGGATATGGATCGGCCCAGAAAAACTGCCTTCGGAAGAACTAAAAATGGTGATCCAGAGGTGTTGTCAGTGGATCCATGGTGATTCAATGGGAATATCTTGGAAATATAACGATCTTATTGGACTTAATCACCAATTTGATCTGATTTTGGATGAGAATTGGTTATTTCTTCCCTTTCGATTGACCACTATATCAGAATTGGATTTGGCAGTTCTGCACTTTTTTTTGGTGCTCTTAACTCTACATCCCTGTGTACCACTATATCCCCAGAGGACAATCACACTTGATCAATGCTTAAGAAGCAATTTTTTGTTCATCCACAACAAAAATGGGAGAACACCAGCCATTTATGGTAAAGATTGGGATGGCTTACTGGCTTTCTTTCTTCACCTTTTTTTGGACTTCCTCATCGCACCGCCAACCCCCAGAACTCGCAGAACTCGCTCGACCGGGTCACCAGCGCAGCATCTGCCTCCATCGCTTGCAATCTTAATCTCTCGGCCTGACACGTGGCCCTCAAGTGGCTGGAATATGGCCGATTTGGATCATGAAAAAAACAGCATTTATGGATGGGATTTCCCAAAACAACAATGGATGTATCATGATATGGTATCACAATGCTACTTAATTACATGTGGTCATGTGGTATGATGATTATAACTATTCTAACTTACCCATGGTTATAATGGGTGACATATAATTGTACCATGAGGAAAAACGATGGTCTCATTTTTTCCCACTTCGCATGACATATTACAATAACAATGGGTGTAATGGAATTAATATGGTATATATAATATACAATTAAAAGGTATTCTTGGACAATTATCACAAGGGGTATCATATGTGATGGGAAGTGGACTGCAACAACACCAAAATGACAAGATTCGATAAACTATTGAACTGGTGCCACAATGCGACCAATTTGACTGTATTATGGAAAGACATGGTTGAGCTCAAACAAGTAGTTAAAATGGCAACGTGTCATTTCTTTCAGAACATGTTCAGAGTTTTGTTTTTGAGAAGTGAGTGGAGTAGATTGTCGTGCAAAACTGTACGTATGGGTGTGTCTGAAAATGGGGTACACCCAAAATGACAATTTTGACAGGAGGGAACATGATGGTCAACTATCAAACTCGGAGGTTTCGCCCAAAATTTCAGACAAACCCCTATCAACCGTAGCTATTTCCACGTGAACGACACCAATACTCTCATGTCATCTATGCTTTCTTGGAATGCTACAGAGATGTTGAGGCCTGGGGTTCGCTTTTGTTCAACATTTTCATATTCACGTTTCCAGGTGGATCCATGGGCAGGCAACCCTTGACCAGTTCATCATTGGATTTTGGTGAGTTTTCAGGCTCTAATTCCCATGGGATTTTCGCCATGGGGTGTCTCCTCCATTTTCAGACACATCCATATTTTGGGGGAATATCATGCGAAAATCATTTGGCAAAAACATGGGATATACTAACGGTTACCCTCTGGTCAACTAACATAGCTATTCAACATGGTCATTTATTGCTGATTTACCCTCTGGTCAACTAACATAGCTATGGAAAACCACTATTTTTAATGGGTACATCCACTATAAATGGCTATTTTCAATAGCTATGTTAGTTTACCAGATGGTATCTGTGAATCATGATGATTTTCCATGCTTATGTTCGTTATCCAATTATCCGTTCTTCATCCATTTTTGTATGAATACTTTTCCAATATGAACCACTATTCACCATTATTGGCTAAATCTAATAAGTCCAAGATTCACAATTATTGGTTAAACCTCATAGAATCCATAGTTATCTTCGTTTTCCAGGGATTAATCTTAACATATTTGGTTTAACCAATAATTGTGAAACAATAACTATGGGAATAGTTTAACTATTCGTTTTCTTCCATATATGTTGGTTTTCCAAATAGTTTATTGGTGCCCGGTCGCACCTCCTCGATCTTCGATGCCAGCGATCCGTTCTCTGGCGCTGCGGTGGTTCCTTGACACGAACGTGTGAACAAAAAACGAGGGAACTTTGGGGGATGTATAAAACATATTAATATTAATAGTGGATTTATATATATTAATATAGTGGATTTATATATATATATATTAATATAGTGTTTTAATATATATTAATATAGTGTTTTAATATATATTAATATACCATCTGGTAATTTAACGTAGCTATATATTATTTGAATATACTTATACACTGATTTGTTAATTGCGCCATATTCGACCAAACATATACAACTACTTTAGTTGGATCCCATGTTTAATACGTATATTTCTATTTTAATAGTTACTTACACTATATTAATAGTTAACGATAGCTAAAAAATACTAAGATTTAATAGTGGATTTAACTATAGTTCTTACATGTCCTTACTATGAATGTATAAAATAATGGGCGTTTAGCTTGAATCTCGAGTAATGAACCCAAATTATGGGGGAGGGGTGTGTTGCTGGGTTCACCACATTAACCAATACTCAAAACCTACCATCTTCATGTATATATATATATATGTATATATAATTTATAATTCTCAGAGACAGTCCTGGTGACTTAATCCTAAAGATTTTCTACCAATTTTGGTGACTTCAAGCGCTCATCTTTGTATTTTCGGATGGCTTAAATGGTGGACATCACCATGACCTCACCGCAGTCCATGATCTCCAGCTACTGGTTGGTGGTATACCTAGCCCTATGAAAAAATGATGGACTTCGTCAATGGGAAGGATTATTCCATCCCATATATGAAATGGAAAATCATCCAGTGTTCCAAACCAACAACCAGTGACTATTAACCATTATTCACCATTATTAACCATGATTAACCGTTATTAACCATGATTAACCATGATTAACCATTATTAACCATGATTAACCATGATTAACCATTATTAACCATTATTAACCATTATAAACCATTATTAACCATTATTAACCATGATTAACCATGAATAACCATGATTAACCGTTAACCATGATTAACCATTATTAACCATTATTAACCATTATTCACCATTATTCACCATTATTCACCATTATTAACCATTATTAACCATTATTAACCATTATTAACCATTATTAACCATTATTAACCATTATTAACCATTATTAACCATGATTAACCATGATTAACCATGATTAACCATGATTAACCATGATTAACCATGATTAACCATGATTAACCATGATTAACCATTGTAAACCATGATTAACCATGATTAACCATGATTAACCATTATTAACCATTATTAACCATTATTAACCATTATTAACCATTATTAACCATTATTAACCATTATTAACAATTATTAACGATTATTAACCATTATTAACCATTATTAACCATTATTAACCATTATTAACCATTATTAACCATTATTAACGATTATTAACCATTATTAACCATTATTAACAATTATTAACCATTATTAACCATTATTCACCATTATTAACCATTATTAACCATTATTAACCATTATTCACCATTATTCACCATTATTAACCATTATTCACCATTATTCACCATTATTAACCATTATTAACCATTATTAACCATTATTAACCATTATTAATCATTATTAACCATTATTAACCATTATTAACCATTATTAACCATTATTAACCATTATTAACCATTATTAACCATTATTAACCATTATTAACCATTATTAACCATTATTAACCATTATTAACCATCATTAACCAAACCACCAACCAAACCACCAACCAGTTAACATTTGTCCCATTCCAACGCCGCGTCTCCATTGGCGCTGCCGCCGCTGGTCGCCCACGCCGACGCCACGGTTTGCGTTTGCGGCACGGACCAGTTGCCGGGCGGCGCCGCCGGGCCGTCGTTCTCCGCTTTGGCCTCTGAAAACGGGGATTTCGCAGCGCGAAAAATGCGAAAAAGTTGGGAGTTTACCAAGAAAACATGTGAACAATGGAAGATTTACCCAACAAGACTCACAAACTGTCGAACGCTTGGGGAATTTTTAGTAACCTTTGCTGAAGGCGTGGGACCTTTTCCACAGTAAAAATGGTGAAACATGAGGGTTTACCTATGAAAAGTCGGGCTTTATCATGAAAATGATGAAACAAGAGGGTTTTTAACTATTCCTGAGGATCCCTGCCCAAATAGATTCAAACTGGACACGACACCAATTTTCCAGTCGATTTCGGATGATCAGTAAAAACATATGCATTGTTGGATCAGTCGGAAATAGGATTTTGTTGGAAACAAATGCCATATTGGTTTCAAACCGCCTACCCTCTGGTAAACTAACATAACTATGGAAAATCACAATTTTTAATGGGAAAACTCACTATAAATGGCCATTTTCAATAGCTTTTTGTATGTTTACCAGAGGGTAACAGTTGCATCATAAACCATGACAGACCGTGACAGACAAATTGTTACGTACTTAGATCTTGGACATTGCCGGATGCTGTGACAGTTGCGTAATGGCCATGCACGTAACGAGGGTTTCTCAGCCCCCAAAGCTGTCCATTTAATCAAGAGCACTGGCGAAAAGATTGGGCTTTTTCACAATCAAAAACGAGGATTTCACAATCAATCCAAGAAGAACGGGATTTGGATGGAACCATCAAAATCATGTCATGTGTGGGTAAAACAATGTCATAAACCATCTCCCAGTCATCACTATAGATAGGTGGTATGGTTACCATTCCCAGTCATGGGTGGTAAAAATGGCATTGTTTCACCCACATGAATCAGGTATTAATCACGATTAACCACTGTTAGCCACTATTAGCCACCATTATAACCACGATTATAATCACTATCTGGTTGGAAAAACCGCCATCAATCACTATTAATAGTTGCCTTGGCTTCGGCAACTCTCTTGGCTTCAGCAGCTCTCTTGGCTTCGGCAGCTGCCTTGGCTTCAGCAGCTCTCTTGGCTTCGGCAGCTGCCTTGGCTTCAGCAGCTGCCTTGGCTTCAGCAGCTGCCTTGGCTTCAGCAGCTGCCTTGGCTTCTGCCTCTTTGGCGTCTTTGGCTTCCTTGAACCTAGGGCGGTCGCCTGAAAAACGGCTAGGAATATGGGTGAAATATGGGTTAAACCCTGGAAAGAGTTGGGGCCCAAAAGTTTGACCAGTGAAATCATGGCCCATAAATGTGATTATTTTTGGATGATTGCCTATTCAAAAATGCCGGATTTTCGATAGCCAAGTTGGGGCAATTGGTTGGTCAAAATGCTGGCCAATCCCATTCGTGGAGCTTCATGGTGATGCTCAGTTCGTGGATTATGATCATCCACAATGTCACAAGATATAAAGGGTTGGTTTATACATAACCCCCAGGAAAAAATCAAACAACAGCAGCACTGTACTTCCATATTTCTGATGCTTGAACGCCTATAACTGATCCTTAAGTCACTCTTGACAAACCCATCATCAACACATATGACATTCTTGGTTGTATTTCCTACGACTGGACCCATGATCAACCCTAAACTTCTGATTTAGATCTTTAATTTTCTATTCATTTTCAGCATGTCCTAAAGATTTTTTTCAGCTTAAATCATATTTTTTCTCATGGATTTTCCATTATAAACCATGCAGCTACTGGGGTACGCCCAGTTATGGTTTATAGTCCATATACAACCTATATAGTCGCATATGTAAGTGGCGATATTCCATGAATCTAACTGGGGGTATAACCCATTTACTAAGTGGGATGCAGCCCGAAGTATTCATTCATGTTCTGGTCGGATTATCATTGTTCTTGCACAATGAATGGGGACGGATCGACACCAAACGTGTACCATTTTGGAGGGGATGGACATCGATAAGTCCCATCTGTTTTGGTGATTATCCATTTGGATATGGGACGATTATCCATATTTTGCGGGGACATTCCCTCACATAATCCTAAACCATAGCCCTTATATATGGATTATTAACCATGACCAAACATTATTAACCATTATTAACCATTATTAACCATTATTAATCACTATTACCAACTGTTTTCCAGGAACGTTACACATATATGTGTATATATATAATTGCATACATATGTATATATATATGTATATATATATGTATATACATATATAATCACATGCACATACATATAAATATATTCAAATATATACATATATATATATAATCGTAAATATTTATACAACCACATATATATATATAAATCAAATAAATAGATGAATAAATAAATAAAATAAACACTATATATATAATCATAAAAAACAAATATATAATCGTATAAATTTATACGGCAAATGCCTGGGCTTTGCCCGGAACCGCAACCACGACAGGCAACACATCATCATCATCATCATCATCATCACCATCATCATCATCACCATCAAACCCTTATTGAAGATCTTCAATGAATGTAGAAGTTTAACAGGGGTGGGATTTTAATATTCCCTAATACCTTTGTTGATCTTCCCAATTTAATGTAGAGTTTAACGGGGGTGGCATTTTAATATTCCCATATATTCCCTAATACCTTTGTTGATCTTCCCAATGGCATGCAGAGTTGCAACAACATTTGATTGGCAATGGGGACCCTCTACACTGCAACGCCTGGGCAAAGCCCAGGCGTTGCGCGTATGTATATATATATATATATGGTACAGGATGGTGCCCCCCAGTTATAAGTTGGGTTGTAAACCCCATTGACTATAGTTATATCTGCCATAAACCATAGTTATGGGAGTTATAAACCAACTTAGCTAACTATGGGGCACCACCTTGTATATATGGTAGGTACCTCCAAAATAAATCGGTTTCCAAGTCATGGCCGAGACGCCGCAGCTTCAAAGCCTCGGTGAGGCAGCGCTTCAGCTGCGGAAGGACTTCCTCGGTGCATTCGGCCTGGCAAGACGAAGTTGGACAAGTTGATACTCATTAAATCATCATACTCATACGTTCTATATATACCTGTATAATCATATATATATAATCATAAATAAATAAATATATATATAACCATATATATATATATCAACTATATTTATATATAATTATATCATATATATGTGATATGTATATTTATTACATATATATATAATTATATATATTATCAAATAATATCATACCACATTGACACAGATATTCAACGATGAAACCTTAGAAACTAGTTGCCTACATCTCACTACGTCAGCCATGGTCTCTCCGTGGTATCGACGGAGGCCTTGAAGTGGAGTTGTCTGGGCGTCGTCTTCCCAGGCGCATGTTGCTCTGAGAGAAGTTGGAGCCTTGGGCGGTTTTTCGGCAGTGGAAATATGGTGGCAATGCGGCTGGGATTTCATGGGATTTATAAGGGTTTATTCTGGGAATATATGGGATCATCTATGAATAAGTATAGTGCAAGAAACTCAATGTGGGGTGAAAAACATATGGGTGGGGCAATCATGTAATTAGATCCAGCTTATGGGATATTAAACTATATGAAAATCTGCTAGTCGCAACTACCCGCTACAAAAAAGAGGACACCAAGTGCATCCCCAACGTTGGTGCATGAAAAAGAACATACATCATGACCAATATATAATAGATATATAATAAATAGTGTATAAGATATATAATAAAAATAAATAGTGTATATATATACATTGCCAATCTTAGATACTCTGCAAAAAAAAAATCTTAGCTGGTTAGTATACAATCCCATTGATACCAAAAGAGGAAAGGATTAAACTACCCGTCTAAGATTGACCTAGACATGGGGTAAGTTGGGACATTAGAACTGCCACCTGCAACTTTGGAGACTCTCCATTCTTGCTCCATGGTCGTGGCATCTTTTTGGGCGAAAAATCCAAATTTCTGAGGTGGAAATTGGATGCTTAATGATATGTGGAATATATGATTCATCAACATGTTAATGCTAACAATTATCAAGATGTGACTCTGTATTTGGAAAAAAACCATTGGGGGTTTCCTAAAATAGGGGTACCCCTAAATCATCTAAAATTTCATAGGATTTTTACTTATAAACCATCCAGCTATTGGGCATCCACCATGACTATGGAAAACACCCTTTCGTCCATGGAGTCCATGATAAAAATCATGCACCAAAGGCCTGCAGCTGTCCTGTGAATGTAACATGTTTTTTCAAACATGAACCAGGTATTTAGCGCTAAGGGCTTTGGAAGGGTATAAGTTATACCCATAATGAACTCATTTTGGTAACTTATAAGATTAACTTGGGCTTATAGGGTATCCAGTTGGTGGTTGTAACCATCTTGAAAATATGAGTTCGTCAGTTGGGATGATGACATTCCCAATATATGGAGAAAAACATGTTCCACACCACCAACCAGAGGTATTTAGGGATACTAAGCAGCGGTTTTTAAGGGTATGCAAGTCTTGGAATTCTTAGAGACACCTAAAACATCAGAAAGCTGTTTTACATTCATTTTTTTTTCAAAGTTTGCGACTCTTGCGATGAACAGATCTGCCGAGCACCCACATGGGTGGGTCAAGCGACGACAAGCCATTTTTGGATCCAGCGCTACCACGTTTTTGACCCTGACCCAACGGCAGGGTGTGTATTTTTTAAAAGGTCACTAGGTTCGCAGTGTCCCTATTCACTGATATTTATATATTTTGAAAAAATGATATGAGTCACTAGGCTTTTAACTCCCGTTTTTATTAGTGATTCAATATATTCAATCAGATTAAATTATTAAGTCTGCATTCTCAGCCAATTTTGGATGATTTTCCATGTAACTTTTGGAGGTAAAATCCCCCCGAGCTGCTCATGAAACCCCCCAAGCCTCGCTGAAGTCCAATCCTAGCCACTTGGTGATGTGGGTCTTCCCCTTCACCTCCTCCATGATGGCGTCCATCTGTTTCAAGAGATCAATGCCGTAAACACCTCGTCGATGGGATTTCACCGTGATTTCCGGACAACACATGGGGATTTCACGAACACCATGGAGATTTTCAGCCAAAAAGACGATGGGAATTTTCATGGATTTTCCATGGTTCATTGCTTACAATCTAAAACTTTTGGATGGTGAAATCAATTGTAGTATTTTGGTCCATGATAAATGTCCACGTCTTTGGACAAAAACCGACCTGGCTGTGTTTGAATTTGTCTGAAATCAGGGTAGCCCCGTCCATCTGGTGGTTTTGTCATCATTTACCCCATTGGGTACTTGAGCGGATGCAGGTTCCAGTCACACTCAAAATGAAGTTAACATATCAATAGTACTATAGATGATCATATCTTTATGGTGTTATCATATGGTTTATTACATAATGAAGATATTGTTATGAACTATATACGTATATATATATATTTATTATGAACTCTCTCCCTTTTTGGCTGGTAAAACCAGCATTTTTGCCGTGTATCCAGTGGCCTTTGCTGGCAAGTTGCTCTTTGCGCCTTGCAGAATTCGTTCGCTTTGCGACCAATGTGCTGCTACCTGAGCGAGGAAACCCAAAGGCCAAATATCGCCAACAAAATGTCCTTGAGAGATGGTTTATAGAATAGTTTCGTGATCATTAGAGTGGATCTTTGGTAATAGTTCGTAATAGTTTAATGATCAGTGGATCATTCCATGGTTTATGATGAATGCTAAGGACTGGTTCCAATTATTGTTATCATCTATTATGATGGTTCTAAGAGTTGCAATGATTATAATGGTTCGAATGGCTCAATTGGGTATTACAGTGTATAGTTGGTTTGACTGGCTTAATAAGTTCCAGTTAGTTTCAACCGGGTTCAGTTGGAGTTATTCCAGTGGCTGGAATAAGTGTGGCTGTAGAACCATTCGCCTCCGAACCTTGCCGAAACCATCTTTTTTCGGAGATTCATCTTGCCGCGACCCAAATGTTGAAATTTTTGGATATTGTTCACTCTTGGATTTACCCGAGTACCCCTGTTAAAAACCACAACTACACATAGAGAAAGTAGATCTCTAGATATGGAGCTGTTGAAATCCCTCTGATATTGTGCTACTCTCACTTTTTGCGCCCCCATGAATAGATGTAATACTGAACCGGCTTTTCTTTTGGGCATTTATAATCTTAGGGGGATGACAACCACCCAACATTGATGACATTCTCAACCAAAAAACACATGTTCCAAGGGGCATTCGAGCAGTGTTCAAAACCCTCTGTCATTCCTCTAAACTGGTTGGCTAAGAACGGGGTTCCCATCTCATGGATGATGAAAATTCCCAATATAATTGGATAGTTATAATATAACCTCCGAAGAAATATCATCCACCAACAGCGGTTGAGCAACCACCACTCATTGAAGGTTGGAGGAATGTACTATAGTCACTGCCATTCCATTCCGAACATCCCGACTCTTACCGTGTCCGGCTTTCCATTCAAGACACGTCAAACTCCTAAGCCACCGGGGCGATGTACCACTGGCGGAACCATGGAGATTGGTACTGTAGATTGGCCCAACACTAGGGTATGGATATGGATTTGTCTGAAAATTCGTAACCCCCCACCAATGGATTATCATCACCTTCCCAATTCAAATTGCTGTTTTGGGATATGACTCATTTTTCAGACACACCCAAACAGTCCCTTTAGCGAGGAAAACCTGCTAATTCCCAGTGATTCAGTCAATTTTGGTGATAAAGCCAGTAATTAACATATCTATTCTACTGGACAGCATATTTATTTTAAATTGTTGTATACACATTACATCATCACCATATTACATAGCATAAACATCAAACGTATTAAAAACAGTATATCTAAATTCATAATATCAATAAAACTGTTTTCTCATCGGCTATCTAAATACTCACTTAACATCAGCAACTATAATTAAACAAATAATTCCAAAAAATATTAATTCCAATAAAATCTGAAGTATATTAATTCCAATCAAAAACAGAATATACGCATCAGTATATTTCATTTAATCTAATAGTATGAAAATTAACCAGATAATCTATATTTGTAAATACACATATATATATAGCTGCAACACACCCGCACCGCAAAACACCTGCATTAATCACATCAACATACCCGAAACACACTACATCACACAGTGCACACAGTGCACACAACACACCAAACACTACACAACAGAACACAACACAACACATCACAACACTACATAGCACGCACCACAACACTACACTACACATCACAACCTCACAACACAACCTCACAACACAATACAAGACAACACGCGACACCAAACGACGCAATACAAAACACAACGCGCAACAAACACCGGCCGCCGTACCAAAACTCCAATGCTTTGGACCTAACATAGTTAACTTTTTCGGGCTTGAAGCATCCCAAAAAATGAGTTTGTCAAGAAACTATTTCCTAACCAGCGCCTTCTGCAATCCAATTTCCATCGATGCCGCAAAAATGTGCTTTGGATTTCAAAAATGCCACGATGTCACGAGATGTGATAGCATCAATTCCCATACAGCCCATACCTCCCATGACGGAAATTCACCGCAGGCTTTTGACTTCACAGAATTCCCATCCCTTTCCCGGTGCTTCATTTCGAGTATCAAATCCCAAGATGGCTGGATGAAAATAACACCATCTCGAGTTGTTTCATATTTCATACATAAAACAAACCCAAAAAATCCCATAAATATCCGATTCATTGGTACTTAAATCTTTCATTCGCTTTCATTTCAAGGATTCCCCAAAGATATAAGAAGCTCCAAACCCGGATCCAGAAATATCCATTGCCCAAATATTCAACATATAATCCCCTTTTATGGTGGAGCGAATCCATAGTATCCACTATTCACCCCAACGTCAACAGATATCCGCTAATCATAAATATCGATTAAATAGATATCGATAGGAAAATCTACCTTCAAATAGATAGGTTATAGCAACCCCCGAAAAGATAGAAACTATCCATTAAATGGGGCTGTCGGAAAATACAGTGCATCTAAATCCATTGGTTGATATTCATTTCCCAACAAATGCAATTTTGAGGAATACCCTGTTCTAGGACACACCCACCTTTTTAAAGGCAGATCAAAATCAAACATGAGGACCACACAAATATCGCGTTCATATGCTATCCCCTTAGGTCACGCAAATATCCAAATATCACACTTATAAAGAAAACATCAATGTTTTGTCAGTACTGAGCTATAGCTCTCCACCTTCCCTATGTATAAGCCATTAACATGCCCTACCTATAATCTATTTTCATCATCCCATGTGTTGGCTGGCGCTGATAAATCCAATTCATCACCATGAAAATCACCCTGGAATGGTTAACGAACAACACCCAAAACAGATAGAAACAGTGTGTTAATGATTTCAAAGATGACGTTTTCCCCATAGTTCCCGTTTTTTTGGGTTTAAATTGGTTTCCTATAGTGATATATAAACCCAAGAATAATAGATATAATAGAAAAAATAGGTATAATAGATATACTAGATACAATAGATATAATAGATATACTTCATAGATCAATAGCTATCAATGTAAATTAAATAGATTCATATCCCATTCATCATAAATTCATGAATTCATCACCACTCACCATGAAGTTTTCCCATGCCGAATCAGGGCACCGAGAGATCCTCGGTGAAGGGATTGGCCGCTAAGCATTTGGCGGCCTCATCGTGTCGTGAGTAGCGCACGTAGGCCTGGCCACGACCTGCAATGATTTCATGGTGGTTTAAATGGGCTTTCATGTGGATTTTTCTGGTGATTTTTCACCTGCAAACCGCAACATGAGATGAAATGCTATGAGAACTTGTTGGCATTAACAGGAACCACTGGGAATTTTTGATTAATATACATGGAATTGACGGCTTATTATGGATGCGGAATTATATGTGAATCCCCTTAGTAAGTTATAATCCACATATTTTATAATCAATATTGTGGGCGTGTCTGAAAATGGGATATTAGCCCCAAATGGTAATTTAAGTAATTAGGGACCATGTTGAATAAGCAGCGGATTTAGGTGTACCCTATTTGTAGACAAACTCACGTATAAGCAATAGGACACGGAAATTAATGCTGAGGGTGGGTTGATCTGAAAATGGAGATTTAACCATCAAAAAGGGAGATTCACATCAATGAACCATTCACAAGTTGGACTGAATTGAATTTAGAATCTATCTAGTCTAGGCTAATATAATCTAATACAATCTAGCATAATATAACATAATCATAAATAATCTATCAATCTGCCGATCTATTTACTTATCATATATTCATATTTGTTCATACACATTATATGCATCCATCCATCACGTGTTGACACATCTTCAGATTCCCCTCTGGTGCCGACGTTCTTGAGGTTCTCTGGGAAATAGTTGCGGTTTCTTTAGGGTTGTTCTAAGGACTTTAGGCTTAATTACTTAATTCGTGACTTAATAACTTCGTATTTATTCAGAATAAATTCGGGTTTGGGTGAATTGGTGTGTGTTTAGTCTTACGGTTTGTTTGGGTATGAAAATTACAGAAACTGTGTTGATTGTTTCAGACTTGATGCCGCCTTAAGCGCAATGCGATGTGACAAAATGCAGGCAGGACCTCGGAGATGATGCTTATCCAACATTGAAGCGGCAACAAAGGGACTTGATGCGATAAATCACAGGAATTCTGATATTCACCAAGAAATGGTGGATTGTGAGTATAAGGCGTTTTATTGTGTAGAATTCAAACTGTTCGACGCAGCGGACACAGGCTGATCCTGTGTGTCCATTTGGAGGTCGCCTCACCAGGGATGTAATTGCAGCCATTGAAGCCGTGGCTCAACTGCTCTGTGCACCAGCGAAAATCACATGTTCAGTATCCGAAGCCGCAGCCTGCCGTTGCTGAGGATGTTCTCCGGTTTTGCCACACCCGCCTTTGCCACACCCAAGATCCTCAAAGGCAACCGCTGAAGGCACACCCACAAGATTCACATGTCGACTGGGTGCACTGGCCTCCTTGGTGGAGGCAGAGGTGCTGCTGGTGCACTGGCTGTTGGCATTGCCTTGGGTGGGTTTGGCTTGGGCGTCTTTGAACGGTGGAGGTTGCTTGAACTTCTCCATGACTGGTGCCGCTGCTGGCTGGGTAGAAGGCCTTCGAGATTCGATGTACCCGTGGAGATCGCTGTAGCCTCTGCTGCGAACCCTGTGCAAGTAGAAGTTGCGGCCGCGGGCTGATGATCACTATCGATAAGCCATGTGCAGCACGAGTGCCAAAATTTTATCATATGATTTAGCCATGATTTCGTCATTATTTAGTCACTATTAACCACTATTAATCATTACCAGTAGTACCGCACAAGGCGGTGGCGGAAGTTTCAAGAATAGGAAACCTATAGGAGAGGTTGGTTGTTGTGAATCAGGGATGGCAGAGCGAATCCACTGATGGACCGAAAGGTGCTTGAGGTCTCCTCTCTTTCTCTCTCTTTCTCTGACTATCTACTTACCTACCAACCTATCTTCTATGTATCTATCTATTGATCTATCTCTCTCTTTCTCTCTTTCATCATATTACCTATCTACCTATCTATCTATCTATCTATCTATCTCTCTCTCTCTCTTTCATCTGTCTATCTGTCTATCTATCTACCTATATATATATATATATCTCTCTCTCTCTCTCTTTCATCTGTCTATCTGTCTGGCTGTCTACCTGTCTATCTGTCTATCTAACTATCTATCTATCTATCTATCTAACTGTCTACCTGTGGTGCAGTGTCATTTAGTGTAATGTAGTGTAGTGTAATGTAGTGTCGTGTAGTGGAGTGTGGCGGAATGTAGTGTAGTGTAGTGTCATGTAGTGTAGTATAGTGTAATTTGGTGTAGTGGAGTGTAGTGGAGTGTAGTGCAGTGTAGTGTAGTTGTAGTTGTAGCGTAATGGAGTGTAGTGTAGTGTAAGGTAGTGAAGTGTAGTGGAAGATAGTGTAGTATAGTGGAATGTAGTGTAGTGGAGTGTAGTGTAGTGTAATGTGATATAGTGTAGTGTAGTGTAGTGGAGCGTAGTGTAGTGTAATGTAGTGTGGTGTAATTTAGTGTAGTGGAGTGTACTGGAGTGTAGTGTAGTGTAATGTAGTGTACTGGAATGTAGTGTAGTGTAATGTCCTGTAGTGTAGTGTAGTGTACATCTCAACTGCCAAAAGTGGTCAGGACCTGGTGTGTTTTGTGCATTTTGACTTGGAAATGTGCTTCGCGCCACAACGGCATGCACTTTTTCGACATCTGAACCTCCAAATGTGGTCCAACCGCCTGGTGTTTTTAACATTTTGACTTTGAAATGTGCTTCGCACCACAACGGAGTGCACTTTTTCGACATCTCAACTTCCAAAAGTGGTACGAACCACTGGTGTTTTTAACATTTTGACTGTGTTTGGCGACTTTCCTACCTTTTCGCGCATCTGCATCTTCTTTCTTCTGACTCTTTCTCTTCTACTCTTCTTTCTTATCTTTCTCTCTTTTAACTCTTTCTCTTCTACTCTTCTTTCTTCTAATCTTTCTCTTCTCTCTGCCTCTTCCCTGCTCTGCTTTTCATCTGTCCATATTGTCGGAAGTTTGACTTCTAAACTTCCTTCGATTAGCCACTATTAACCAGTATAAAGGTGCAACATCAAGAAATCTACCCTCAATGAATCTAGCCATATCAGAAATCCAATCGGGGTGCAGAAATATTTCTTGGGCCCGGCGAACCCCCCAGAAGGTGTTCCTGGCGATGCCCAGATTGTGGTCATCCCATGCCAGAATCACAGAATGACGAGCCATAAATCACCATAAACAATGGATTCATGATATTTATAGTATATTATGGAGCCATTATAGTTAATTAGTTAATTAGTATATCATGGAATTATAGCATATGATAGTTAATTAGTTCCATTCCAACCGCCGGAATTCCCTCAGTTGACATGGCCAATCAGCCAGATACCCTGCAAAAAATGACAAATTCTTAGCCGGTGAACGTAGATATTCCCATTGATACCAAAAGACTAAAGGATTAGTTTCTACCCATCTAAGATTGACCTAGTTAATTCTATTTAGTTCATGCTATTTGATTCGGCACCGCCCAACTAACTTTACTATGGCACCCGTGGACTCTGGAAGGTGGTACAGGTCAATGATGGTGCCTCAGCTCCACAAATATTGCTGGGTGTGCTCAGGGTTGAACAGGCTTGTAGATCTTTGAAAAGCTAACCAGTAAGACACATTTGGCTGCGAATTTCTGAAGACTGCTACAAGTCCAGAAGCAGCAATTTTTTCTGCGGACCTCTATCCTATATTTAAAAACTGATCTGTTGACTTTAGACGGTGTTTTGTACAAGACCTGTGGTTTGGCTAAAGCCAACCCAAGTGCTGCCAGCTTCCTGGAATGACTTGGTGGTCCCTAATGAAACCATTGACAGCGGGTCAGCGTCTGTTTGGTTCCATAATTCGGTTTTCCCTGTAAGAGTTTAAAAGTTCAATGATGCAAATTTAAGAATTTACGGAGAAGAACCACATAATTATAGGAAAACATGGAAAACAGATTGAATAAGTTATTTCCAGTCAGCTGTCAATTGTAAACTATTCATTGTTGCGTTTTTTTCTGCTAGCTCCTGTACATTCTACTGATTGATTGATAAGCAATTCAAACACCATCAATGAAGCGTTCCAGCAAAATCCCATATTGCCATCCACCACCAGCACCCTTGGGCTTGGAATTTTCATGGTTGGATGCCTAGATGTTTTTACGCGAAACATCTTCGGCATGTTGATGCGCTTCATGGAGTTGGACTTCCCCAAGTCCTGTCCCCTCTGAAATACGCTTTCTTTTTAAGGTCCCTATTATGAATAGACCCTATACTAAACCAAAATTTCTAGGGGAGTATTGACAGATTATGTTCAATGTCCATTATATGTATACATGTATATATATATATGATACTATATATATACACATATGGTATGTGTGTATATATGCATATAGTATGAATAATATGTCCACGCAAACACGACTCCAGACTCAAGAACTTTGACGTCAAGTGGCCAAAGTCTTGCAGATAATTATCGATCTCCTACGGCGGAAAGAACAATTGCACCTCTTTAAGGCCTTAAATCCCAAGGTGAATTTCATGTTAGTAAAGCAATCTCACAAAGCATCCATATGTATTTCCACAAACAAACATGGCGAAATTGGGGATGACGGATCTCCGCTTTACTAACATTATCACAAGCATCACTGGCATGAAATTAAAGATCATCACCACGATGATGCGCAACTTTTCTCTTCGGCAAGCGCCCTTGAATTGAAATACTCTTCAAGGAAACCACCAATTATATGGCTGAGTTGTGGAGTCTACTTTTGCCTTGCTGAGCTTCAAATATCAATGGTAAGGTTTTGTCAGATTTGCTCTGCTCACGTTCAGGGTTCGAGAAATGATTCCTTCCCCAAAATAGGGGTGCCCCCCAAAAGTTTCGCCCCAAAATCATTCAGAATCAGACTATTCCCTAATATTGAAACCTATACTTGGACTTGCTTAAGGGGTCCCCCCAAAAAAACAATATTCACTATAGATTCCCCAGTCATGGTGGGATTTTCCATTGGGCCATCCACATCTCCACCATTAATCGGTCCTCTCGGCTGCATTCCTGGGTCAAGTTCTTCATGAAGACCTGGATCGATGCGGGATTTGGACATTGAGATTTGAAGGAAAAAACATGAGAAGATGTGATTTTCAATGGGTAAATCCACTAAATTTGGTTAATGATGATGGTTAATATATGCTTAATGATGGTCAATAATAATCTGGTTGGTGGTTGACCTACCCCTCTGAAAAATGACGGAGTTCGTCAGTTGGGATGATGAAATTCCCAACTGAATGGAAAAATAAAATTCATGTTCGAAACCACAAACCAGATTATTACAAACAATCTCACATTACAAATGATAATATGATGTAACAATGGTTATGATGTAATAATATCACATAATCTGGAAAATACATCAAATACAATATGATGTAACCATCAGAAAATGGTTATGATTTGAATAGAACATATGATGAGTAAAATGACGTATAATGAAATCATATTGAATATCACATTTGATTTTCTTTTTTAAATAAGATCAAATAATATTGATGTACCCAAAAAAATAAAATGATGAATGATGGTTATGCCAAGGAGAATATGGAGAACATTCGCCATCAAACATTACAAACTCATCAAAATCATCACATGATGTAACCGGCAAGAGACGTCTACCATATGGCGATGGATCCAACCCTATACCATCTGGTTATTTACACTCTGGTTATGTCAAAATAGCTATTGAAAATGGCCATTTATAGTGAGTTTTCCCATGAAAAATGGTGATTTTCCATAGTTATGTTAGTTTACCAGAGGGTAAGTAAACCATCTATTTCGAACTGGGCCATCGAAAAACCATGGCTGTGAATGTCATAACCAGAGGGTGGTCACATCATATCCCGAAAAAATATCCCATATCTGTAACATCCTCAAAACACTAAAAAAATAAGTGAATCATTCTATAGCATAGAAAGAAATCGCTATTTTATGCTAATTGTGTGTAAGTACATTTTGTACAAGTGCATTTTCCAACAGCATCAGCATCTTCAAATCTCAGAACTAGATGATGGAAAAAACTAGAGAACACCTCTAAATCCAACGATAAAAACCCATAGCTTTGTGTATATTTCCCCTTAAACCAATCCATTGATGTAAGTATAAGCATGGTTGGTTGTTTACCCCTTGATATATTCCTATCTTTTCCCACGTAAAAATGGTTGATTTTTGGATCCGATGAATCTCATATAGCCTGTCCTTTTTTCCATTATATTCGGTAAAATCGCCAATGTTTCATGGTGAAATGACCATTTTGCTGGCAGTACCGTCAGCCCCGAACTACTCAACCCTGTGAATTTGCGGGGTTTCCTCCGAAATAGCGATATTACATGACCGATGAAAGTTGCTAAGGGATCACGAATCGCTTGGCAGCAGGTTTCGCCCTGCCTCGCAGTCGTTCTCTGCCGCGTCACAGCGAAACATCAGATCCAACTGATCCACAAAAATGGTCTGCGAAAGGCCTGGACCCCACGAGGCGAAGGCCACCCCGAGAGTTTTCCGGCCGTCTTTGTGCAAAGGAATTGGGATTCATGATTTGGTGGTTGAACCAACAACCAGTGGGGATCTGGGCATTGGCCACCTGCACCATGGGAGGGAAAGGGGGATGAATTGAACTTATATTCGACTATTTTGCACCACTTTGATTGTCGAATTGCGGTGTTTCCCACAAATTGAAGGCCGGTAAGACCCATGTGTAATCTGCTGTTTTGCTGTGCCATTTGGGCTATTCCCTCCTGGCCAAAATCAAATTATATGCGCCTCAATGACTTGACAAAATCCCATGATTTTCCATAAAACCCACAAGTTCCAGATGATTCTCCCATAAAATAACCAACTACTGTAGGTTTACTTAATTTTATATGTGTGTATTTGATAATTATCAGTGGGTTATCCCATGATAACTATGGTTATTAACCAACTGATAACTAATTACCCTCTGGTAATTTAACATAGCTATTGAAAATGACTATTTATAGTGGATTTTCCCATAAAAAATGGTGATTTTCCATAGTTATGTTAGTTTACCAGAGGGTATCCTATAAGTGAGTTTGATAACTAGCAGGAAAATCCCAGCAGTTTGGTGAACCAATGACCTTTGTGAGTTCTATCCCCATCCCATCCCGAGATTTCCCTCCGAAAAAGCCTTGGATTTGACACTGCAGGGTACAAACCTCCACGATGTCGCCATCGCCCGCCTGAACAAATGCCGCAGCGCTGGGTTGAGATCACCCGAAAAAGAAAGAACAGTGTCGCGTTTTCCTATTTTTTGAGATTTAGATTTACTTTTCATGACACGTATCTGTTTGATTCTTTCTGGGGGCACATTTAAAAAGAACACATTGGTTTTCGGACACTCCGTGGGGTGGTGAAATCACCATGGCGATGGGGCTTTCATCCAACAAACATGGGGTATTCATCCAACAAACATGGGGTATGAACTGTGAAAACTAAGGATCAAAACCACCCTTTTCATGGCTGCTTCATGGCTTTGTTTGCCGTTCCAGTGGTTCTCCAGGGATGAACGTTCCCAATGTGTGGGAAGCCAGCTGGCCATGGGGGTGTCGTGTATGACTCCACTGATCCACTGGGGATTATCTTTCAAGGGACTCAAGGGACTGGCCATGCACCACATGCACCTCCATCTCGTGAAGTGCTCCCACGGCTTTTGACATGTTGGCCTTGGGATCTGCTTTCAATATGGGTATGGGTCAAAATTGAAGCCCTATGGGACCACAGATTTTAGTAATTTTTTGGTATATGTTTAGTATCAATCATCCAATTATTGGGGTACCCAAGTGTGACGCATACCCAAATAGGAGTGGACAACAAAGAATTCTTGACACCAACCGGGAAGACACCTCGTGGGGATTAACTGGCTGTCAACTCTTTCAGGCATCATACATGCGCCAACTTTCGACAGGGTGATGGGACAAGACAAGTAATGTGTAAATCGTCACGGATACTGATGATTTTGCCATTTGACCATTTAGTTCGTGAATCTGGCAGCCATGTTTGATTCCCAGAGTGCAATAGTAGAGAGGCGATTTTCTTGCAATTCTCAGTTCATGTTTGGAATAATAAACAATGGAATAATAAACAACCAAGCCCATGCAACCACAACTTTTGACAATCGAGTATACCTCAGGGTGTAGTCAATCGTAGAAACAATTGGAGCAGGTACAGTTATTGTGGGTCACAATATTTCCACTCAATCACAACAAACCTTAGAACCTTACTTCAACACCAGCAACACCCTCTTGGGCCCGGAAGAAATACGTCATACGTAGATTTCATGGGGGATATGATGATCGTCAAGCTCCGCGGCGAAATCATCTGCCAAGGTATTTCTGAGCACAGATGGCATCCCAATATTGCCTTAACCCAGCCACATTATGGGTTCAAAAAATGGCTAATCTTGGACCCAGCCAACAGATTCATGACCACGGGGAATATGGAGTATTTGATTCAAGGGGATTGGATACAGATCATGCCCATTTCCTCTGATAATCTAAGCCTGGAAAATGGCGCTTTCTCGACAAACGGGCCATTCAATATTCATATACTAAATTATAGATCATCATGTACAAACACATACATGTATATATATATATATGTATATATATATGTATATATATATATGTACATATATATACATTATATATATATATGTATATATATATGTATATAAATATGTATATATATATGTATGTATATATATATATATATGTATGTATATATATATACATATATGTACCATATTGTCCCAAATATGATCCGATATTTGCCTCAATATCACCATCTGATCAAGTATCATCAAGTATCTACATTTTTTAAACATGGCGTTTCCATCCAGGCAGAAAAATCCCACGCTTTGCCGTGCAGCCGGTTTCTTCAGTTGCACCCGTGCAATGCGTTTTGCATCGTCCTAAGGGATCAACTGGATGGACCTTCAGAGGTTGGGATGTAGCTGGATGCTATGGATAACTTCTATCTAAATCCTGTGATCAATTTGGATATACATAGAATAGATAATTGAATCATCAAATTCAATCATATTAACTTCTACATACTTCTATGATTACATAATATTCATAGATTAATTTGGATAGTATGATTCATATGATATACGATAAGTTTTAATATGATTACATGTAATATGCAACTGATTAATATCCAAATAATACTGCAGTTGATAGCTATCCGTATACAATGGAAACAAACATATAGCTTATTATGTAATAAACTTAGATGTTAAAATCATTCTTTACATTGATTCACGAAACATATCCCAATCAGTAAGCTTATCATAGCCTATCTTTGGGCTGAAATAACGCAAGACTTTGAGGACCAGACCATGCCCTTGTAGAATCGCATTGATGCCATCCGACTATTGGGGCAACTACAGGTAGCGAATTGTCCATATGCAGCAATAAACTTAGTCTTTCTTAATTAGTCTTTCTTAAGCGGATCTGTTCGTCCATTTTCATGATAAAACATCAGCCTACTTTTCTCTAGTCAGCTTTACCCATACTTTCAATGGTTACCTTCAGATAATTCAACATAACATAAGCATGGAAGGTGGTCCATTTATAAATGATTTACCTCTTCAACATGAGACTTCTCCATTTTCTTCCATGATGGACCTATCAACATGATCAGTTTCCAAAGCAGACTCTTAAAATGATCATAAATATATACTTATTTGCGTATCATACACTATTGTTATTGCAGTTATAATCCACATTAGCTAACAAAAAAAAGAGGTCCCATCCTGGTACGTTCCGAAAACATTTCCATCCTTCACCATCCACCTGCGGCGCTCCGTTTAACGCCGTTTCTTTCTGCGAAGCTTCCCGGTCAAACTGCCATTTGAGGAGACCTCCGAAGGGGATGAACAAGGTCTTCAGCGAGTCCACGGTCCAACTCTCGGGAAAGCCTACCCGATGGGCCCTTCGGATTTTGAACCCTGCAGGATGCTGCAAAAAAAGGGGCCAAATGAATGTTGGAAAACCGTTGGAGTAACACGATAATTATAGATAACTATAACATAATATAGTTAAGTACAATATAACTATAGGAAATAACTAGTGTATGATACTTAAAACATTCGTGTATGATTCGAAAAAAACAGGGGAATATTTCCAAATGGCAATCTTTTTGTAGGGAAAAACACACTTGGGGATGATGATTTGATGATGTGATGTTTTTTTCTTCCCCATTTTGCTGTTTGGAATGAATTTTGAGCCATCCCCATTTCCGACTTGGTTTCGTGGATATATGGCAGTGTGTCAAAACCTTGTACCCCTGGTGAACATCAAAATAGCTGGGACTTATTGATGTTCATCCCGCTAAAAATGTATCTATAGGTATTGACCCATACCCATATTTTTCGGTTGATCATCTGTTATATTCATGGCAATTTCAGAATGGTTTCACAACTTCAACCAATCCGTTGCCGCTGGTGGACCTTTAGTTGGGACGTGAAATCAATGGCCATTCCAGGATCCGATTGATTGGAGGTACCTACCATATATAAGGCCTATGTAAGGCCTATGTAAGAGAATATCCCCACAAAATATGGCCTTATATGGTACAGTACCTCCATTTTAGGATCCTGGAATTCCCATTGATGAAAAGAAACCAATTAAGTTTTTATGTCTTAATTCCATTTCACCTGAAAATAGAAACACCTAATTCTTTTTTTTAAACGACCAAGCAATCTTTTGAAATCTTTTCCCGGTTGTTTCCTTACGATATGATTTACCGAATCATGGGGGTATGGCATGGTATAGCAACTTTGATTTTGGCAACGAGGACCCCATGGGTGTCTTGCATTACAGGCTTCTTTGAGACATATTGACCATCAATATACCATCAATTCACAGACCCAGCCCATGAAGTTTTCAGAATACCTGATTTTAACAGATTCACAGTCAGGTTTCCTGGTATGATTTTGGTAAGATTTGTGCCATTAAGAAACAGTGCTGTGACTAATTGGATGATCTAGAAATACAGAGACAACAGAAATCTCCGAGTCATTGAGACTTACGCTGTTTAATTTGGTCGGTGGTTTCAATCCAGCCTTGGACCAACATCCTCGGGTTGAAGATCAACAGGGACTATCACAATCTTCTCATTCTTCTTTTTGAACATCAAAATGCGTTTTTTGGCGATTTCACCGGCTTTCGTGGTTCCACCTTTGCTCTTGCCCTGGTTTTTTCTGGCACCTTCCAACCGCAGGCAGGGCGACAAGGGCTCCTCCACCGGTGGTTCCGGCGGCGCTTCGGGCACCGGTGCCACCTGCGCCACCGGTCCCGTGGCGGCCTCCGGCTCAACCGGTTCCTGCTTCACCGCTGCCCGCGCTGCTGCCCGCGCTGGGCGGGCTCGGGGGGCTGCTGGGGCTGCTGGGGCTGCTCGGGCTGGGGCTGCCCTACCTGGCAATGGGGGAGAGAAGTCAATAGTGTTTTTTTTGGGAAACATCTAATTTTTGGGAAGTATGGACAAACTTCAAAACCTTCCAGGATTCGTTGCAACATGATCTTGAACTGATCGTTTTGCATGCTTGACTCCCTAAGTTTGGAGAACCCCAAAGATTGACCCTGCATTTCTTCGCAATTCTGCGTGTTTCCGGATCTCCATGATCCCCCTGACCCTAGGTGGTCTCTCAAAATTAAGGATGCTCCCCACACTGACAAATTTGCTTTACTGGTGGATTTAAGGCTTTCCCAAGAATTTTTCACACCATTTTCTCAATGCATATATTCCTACCATTAGCTCCTTATATATTCAACCTAAATACCATCCCGCCAACTAACATAAAGAATGGCAATTCTTTCAGAGGAAAGTAGCCTTACCCTGGAAAACACGGATTTAATAGGGTTTATATAGCGATAATGTATAGGGTTTTAGCTATCAAACACATGGGGATATCATTGATAAATGATGGTTGATTGATGATTATATCGTGTCCCATATGTGGTTATTGGTTATGCTACTCAATATATACTGGGGATTAGTACAACCCATTGTAGAAGTTCCAATTGACCAGGCAGTAAAAGGTTTTGAACACTGCTCAGCTGGGTTTGCCTAGACAATGTTGGGAAAGCCCCCTTGCATCCACTGGTGCATCGTCATTTCCCCAGAGTAAAATCACATTTTGGCGGTATCCCCCATATTCAGACACACCCGTTCAGGGGTGCGAAGAATGGCAAAACAATGGGAACAGAATTTATAAGAGGCAATGGAATTTGGCATATACTGACCAACTATAAATGCAAATATTTGAGCAACAACTCCAAGGAAACTTAGTTAGCAAAGGTCCGACTCAGGGACACATGTCAATGGAGAGTTTTCACCGACTTACTTGGGGATGGTAAATTATTAATCCAAAACAATGGGTTGCTCCCAACAACCCAACTACAACTACAAGGGGGGTAAATTTGCTAAATAGTGCCAGTGCCAATCTTAGATACCCTGCAAAAAAATAAATTCTTAGCTGGTTAGTAGATAATCCCATTGATACCAAAAGACTAAAGGATTAAAGTGCCCATCCAAGGTTAACCTAGTATAGAGGTAAAATGACTGATTTACCCTTCAAAAGTGGCTATCAGTTATCTATAATGGCTTGGGGCAACCCTGCATCCCTTCAACTAACCATCATGTATCAATGATATCCCCATATATTGGAGAGTTAAAAACCCATCAAGTATTTCAAATCCCATGGAAATCCTGGTTTTTCAGCACCATAACCACCTGAAAACACTCTTGTTTGGGAAACTCTATTCGTAGCTCCAGAGGGCTCTCCATTTCATGGCAAATATGGAGACCCCTAGCTCCGAACCGCTCCCAACCCGCTTTTCGACTTAATCCCAAATGAAACTTGGCTGTGAAGGCTGTCAGATTCTCCCACTGGATCGTCAATCTTTTTGGGTGTGAATACACCGTTAACACCATTAAATGGTCATGAAATGTCATGAATGGTAGTTCAAAATGGTGATTCATGGTGATTAACCACATGTTACCCTCTGGTAAACTAACATAGCTATGAACACTTCCACTTCTCAAAAAGGTAAATCAACGGACTAAATGATTGAAATGGGCCATCACCATCAACCACCTTCCATATAAATCAGCCAAATTTTTAACCATGGTTAAAGATAAAATTTATCAAGCATCATAACCAATGGAAGGCAACCAATTTTTAACCATTAAAGTAACATCATTATTGAAAACTGATAAACTTACATTAGACATAATTAGACAAATTTTAGTTTCAATAACATCTATAACGACTATGTTGATTTCAAAAACATTCTATAACCATAACATAACCATAACACCATAACATGGTTGAAGGTTCCAAATCCCCAAAATCACCTAGGCCCGTGGCAACCTGGACCTGGAGCGCTCGGGCTGCGAGAAGGCGGGGCGGCGGCTGCTGCGGCTGCTGCGGCTTGCGGTTTCTTCGTGGACCTGGGAAAGGGCAGGTTCCATGGGAACATGCCAGGAAAGAGTTTCGCCGACCCCGACCAAGCAAAGGGGCACAGCAACCACAACCACAACCACCACCACCACAACAACAACAACAACAACAGCTCGGGTAGCTTGTTTTGAGGGCCCCAGTCTTTGTTTGTATCAACAACAACTACAACAACTACTGCTACAACTGCTACATCCCTATGTGTGGTGCCTAGGGGGGGTTGTTCCCAAATTTATCTTGGAAAAATGTTTTAGAGCCAAGCATATTGGGGAATCAATTTCCAATGCAAAAATGGCCACAACCATCAGGTGTACATGGCGCAAAAAAAATAACCCATAATAACCTCGGGAGCGACGGGGGCAAACATCTCTGGATCAAGTTCCACTGGCCAAGATTTTATCTCTCCCGTTGAAACTCTCGAAACATTCCAACAAACCCCTCTCCGAGAAACTGCGGAGGCAAAAAAAAATTGAAGCAACTTTTTATCCAATCTGTGCCAAGCGCTGTCTCAAATCCGTAGCATCTTTACAGATTTTCAAGTTTTGGGGCCACAAAAACAACAAACATCCAACAAGACTGAATGATTTTTTTGGATGTTTTAGGGCTGTGCCCAAGAACTTTATTCACAGGAAGGGGGAACCGAAAACTTCTCGGGAGAGGGGTTCAGCCAGAGGAGCTTTATTCTCCTGCACGGTGCCAAAAGAGAGCTGGTGCCACATGTAGTACAACCAGGAGTGCGTTCGCTAATTAACAACACTAGGTAGTGGAACGAAGGGATGAATAATGGCCGAGCAAACAGAGAAGAGTAGAAAACATATGTAGATATAGGAACATTTTGAGACATTTCCATTTCCATTTTCTTTACATCCAAAAAAATGATAGGTACTGTAAGCCCTCTTAAACTACCTTCAGTTTAAGGTACAGTTTTGGGACCAAATTTTAAACATTTTAGGTTTCCATCTCGGGAACCCATTTGTAGACATTTTGATTTTTGACACATCTCCATTTCAATTTCCTTTTTATTATAACATCCAAAAAACGATAGGTACTTTAAGCCCTCTTAAAGTACCTTTAATCTAAGGTACCTGTTCGGAACCAATTTTTAGACATTTTAGGTTTCCATTTCAGGAACCTATCTTTAAAATTGAATAATTATAGACACATTTCCATTTTTTTTAAATCCAAAACGTGATAGGTACTTTAAGCCCTCTTAAACTACCTTCCATTGAAGGTACCTTTTTGGATCCAATTTTAAAACATTTTAGGTTTCCATTTCGGGAGCAAATTTTTGGACATTTCGGCTGAAACACCAGCACTGGGATAAATTTCCTGATAATTTTTTTGGGCACAAGGTCAGGAAAAAAACTTGCCAGCACGAATGTGGATCTTCTACTACTACTACTATTACTACAACTACTACTAGTACAACTACTACTAGTACTACCTGCTACTACTTCTTCTTCTGCTGCTGCTGCCGCCTCCTTCCTTCCTTCCTTCCGTCCGTCCGTCCTTCCTTCCTTCCTTCCATTCACTTGCTTGCTTGCTTGCTTCCTTGCTTACTTACTTACCGGCCTTACTTACTTTACTTTACTTTACTTTACTTGCTTGCTTCCTTGCTTCCTTACTTGCTTGCTTGCTTGCTTTGCTTCCTTTGCTTGCTTTGCTTGCTTTGCTTGCTTTGGCTTGCTTGGCTTGCTTGGCTTGCTTGGCTTTGCTTGGCTTGGCTTGCTTGCTTAAATCCAAATCAATAACCATAAATCCCAATCAATCGCCAAAAATCTCCAGAAATCTGATTAAATCCACTCAATCCCCAAAAAATTCAATAAATCCGATTAAATCCCAATCAATCCCCGCAAATTCTATAAATTCCATTAAATCCCGATCAACCCCCATAAATCTCCATAAATCCGATTAAATCCCAATCAATCTCCATAAAACCGATTAAATCCCAATCAATCTCCATAAAACCGATTAAATCCCAATCAATCTCCATAAAACCGATTAAATCCCAATCAATCTCCATAAAACCGATTAAATCCCAATCAATCCATAAAACCGATTAAATCCCAATCAATCTCCATAAAACCAATCAAATCCCAATCAATCTCCGTAAAACCGATTAAATAACATCAATCTCCATAAAACCGATTGAATCCCAATCAATCTCCATAAAACCGATTGAATCCCAATCAATCTCCATAAAACCGATTAAATCCCAATCAATCTCCATAAAACAGATTAAATCCCAATCAATCTCCATAAAGCCGATTAAATCCCAATCAATCCCAATGAAACCGATTAAATCGCAATCAATCTCCATAAAACCGATTAAATCCCAATCAATCTCCATAAAACCGTTGAAAAAATAACATCAATCTCCATAAAACCGATTAAATCCCAATCAATCTCAATAAAACCGATTAAATCCCAACCAATCTCCATAAAACCGATTAAATCCCAATCAATCTCCATAAAACCGATTAAATCCCAATCAATCTCCATAAAACCGATTAAATCCCAATCAATCTCCATAAAACCGATTAAATCCCAATCAATCTCCATAAAACCGATTAAATCCCAATCAATCTCCATAAAACTTATTAAATCCCAATCAATCTCCATAAAACCGATTAAATCCCAATCAATCTCTATAAAACCGATTAAATCCCAATCAATCTCCATAAAAACCGATTAAATCCCAATCTATCTCCATAAAACCGATGAAATCCCAATCAATCTCCATAAAACCGATTAAATCTCAATCAATCTCCATAAAACCGATTAAATCCTACTCAATCCATAAAACCCATTAAATCCCAATCAATCGACCGATGAAATCCCAATCAATCTCCATAAAACCGATGAAATCCCAATCAATCCCCATAAAGCCGATTGAATCCCAATCAATCTCCATAAAAACCGATGAAATCCCAATCAATCTCCATAAAACCGATGAAATCCCAATCAATCTCCATAAAACCGATTAAACCCCAATCAATCTCCATAAAGCCGATTAAATCCCAATCAATCCCCATAAAAACCGATTAAATCCCAATCAATCTCCATAAAGCCGATTAAATCCCAATCAATCTCCATAAAAACCGATGAAATCCCAATCAATCTCCATAAAGCCGATTAAATCCCAATCAATCCCCATAGAAACCGATTAAATCCCAATCAATCCCCATAGAAACCGATGAAATCCCAATCAATCTCCATAAAACCGATGAAATCCCAATCAATCTCCATAAAACCGATGAAATCCCAATCAATCTCCATAAAACCGAAGAAATCCCAATCAATCCCCATAAAACCGAAGAAATCCCAATCAATCCTCATAAAAACCGATTAAATCCCAATCAATCTCCATAAAACCGATGAAATCCCAATCAATCTCCATAAAACCGATGAAATCCCAATCAACCTCCATAAAAACGATTAAATCCCAATCAATCTCCATAAAAACCGATTAAATCCCAATCTATCTCCATAAAACCGATGAAATCCCAATCAATCTCCATAAAACCGATGAAATCCCAATCAATCCCCATAAAGCCGATTGAATCCCAATCAATCCCCATAAAAACCGATGAAATCCCAATCAATCTCCATAAAACCGATGAAATCCCAATCAATCTCCATAAAACCGATTAAATCCCAATCAATCTCCATAAAGCCGATTAAATCCCAATCAATCTCCATAAAAACCGATTAAATCCCAATCAATCTCCATAAAGCCGATTAAATCCCAATCAATCCCCATAAAAACCGATTAAATCCCAATCAATCTCCATAAAGCCGATTAAATCCCAATCAATCTCCATAAAAACCGATGAAATCCCAATCAATCTCCATAAAGCCGATTAAATCCCAATCAATCCCCATAGAAACCGATTAAATCCCAATCAATCTCCATAAAGCCGATTAAATCCCAATCAATCCCCATAAAAACCGATGAAATCCCAATCAATCTCCATAAAACCGATTAAATCCCAATCAATCCCCATAAAAACCGATTAAATCCCAATCAATCTCCATAAAGCCGATTAAATCCCAATCAATCCCCATAAAAACCGATGATATCCCAATCAATCTCCATAAAACCGATGAAATCCCAATCAATCTCCATACAAGCGATGAAATCCCAATCAATCTCCATAAAACCGATGAAATCCCAATCAATCAATCTCCATAAAATCGATGAAATCCCAATCAATCTCCATAAAGCCGATTAAATCCCAATCAATCTCCATAAAAACCGATGAAATCCCAATCAATCTCCATAAAATCGATGAAATCCCAATCAATCTCCATAAAACCGATTAAATCCCAATCAATCTCCATAAAGCCGATGAAATCCCAATCAATCTCCATAAAACCGATTAAATCCCAATCAATCTCCATAAAACCGATTAAATCCCAATCAATCTCCATAAAGCCGATTAAATCCCAATCAATCTCCATAAAGCCGATTAAATCCCAATCAATCTCCATAAATCTGCGTAAATCCAAGGATCGGCGCGCTCGGCGGGCGCCGGCCGGGCTTGGCTTTGGTGCGGGGAGCGATGGGGTCTCGAAGGGCCTGGGATCCGGCCCAGTCAAGGTGAGTTCATGTTGGCTACAATTAGTTAATGCATGTTAATGCGGTTAGAAGAATAGTTGATGGGTTATATTATATATATTATATTTACAGCGTTGGTTGTGATGATCATAGAGTTATAACAATAGTTAATGGGTTTTGAAATTAAAGGGTGAGGTCTGCTTTGGAAAAAAACATAGGAACATGGTGATTAAGCGCAAGAAATACGGATTTCGTGGGATTTATAGCTGGTTTATGGTAGCCAAGTTTACGCACATAACTTGGTTAACTAGGGTTTATGGGGGATGTAACAAACTAGCTCATTCATGGGTGAAACTAAACCAACAAAGATTACCGGGGGGCCTCAGCTTGTAAGGGCTGATTGACCAGCAACAGCCACGAATATGGGCAACATTTTCCATCTAATTATGTACATGGCAAATTGGTTAGAATCAAGTTCAAGCTTATAAATGATCCAAATGTAAGCATACATTATATGTGCAAACATCTTTACTTGTAAATTGGTTGGGGCATTTGCTGATTACTGGGCAATCGTCCTGTAGGAACTTTACTTCAAAAACATGGCTGGAGATGAAGTTTCCATGCCATGTTTGGACAGCATTTGCTTCGCAAATAGCATTATAGCATTTAGCTCGTCATAAGCTATAATTATCAACGCGAAATCGGAAATGGGTTTTACCCTCTAGTAGAAGCTATATAACAGGGTTAGCCGAAAGATCCAAACTCCTAATGGATCGAACGAAACATGGGTGACTTTCCACATCTTTGTCATTTACTGCAGGGCACAAACAAAAAGACATCGTTTAAGCAGAAAAACGTCGGGCTTTCATGAGATTTCAGTAGCAACAAGTAGTGGTTTAATCCAAGCTACTGAGATTTTGGCAAGACAAAGTTGGCATTCAAGCAGTATATAGTACATATATATATATTAATATACATATATGGGACTTCTAGCGCAAGAAAACTTGGCAATTTTCCGATACATCATGGAAAGGGTGTTTCAACCATCTGGACATTGGGATGAAACCTACCCAATTGAGGATTCCACCGGCAACAAATTGCTTACCAAAGATAGTGCTGGAAAATCGCCTGTGACGACGGGCTTGGCGATTTCCCAATGACAGGACAGGCAGCTGCAGTGCAAAGTTTCCCCGGTTGTGGCCAAACACAGGGCTGCAATTGACTCATAAATTAGCAGGGTCCCCTGAGCTTAAGCTTGGTCGATTCATAAACCGGGTGATATCACTCAACAATAATTGGTGTGTGCAACCGCTGGATATGTTCAAAGGAAGTTTAGCTAGAAAACTTCAGTGTTCATGGTAAGCATTATCATGTCAACTCCATGATCAAGTAGTGGGGAGGTGAAAGAGCCCGAGAGCGTGTAAACTCACGGGTGAAAACACTCTCAGGCGCGAAACCCTGTGTTTGTGTCGGTGGGATTGCGAGAGTAGGTTCTGGTCGGCAAAAAGTGCGCGAGCCTTCCAGGGAGAGCTCGATTTGCTCTTCAAAAATATGAAAAGAAGTAAGTAAGCCAAAAACGGGATAAACACTAAAAACCGTGCCCATCAGCAATCAAACGCGGCAAGGGGACTCCCCCTGAAACTGTAAGTTTTACTGGGAAAATAATCCACTGCCATGTTTACCTATCGGAGGGTAACTCCAATGGTTGCTGAGTATCGGTTGCATATCTCTCGGTGGCTGGGTTAGTTGTAGAGGCTGGTGATGGACAAGACAGAATACACCACAATAGCATTAGCTATGAGCAAAAACAATAGCAATAACATACTGCGCCATACTATACCTTACACATATCATAAAAAGGGTGTTCCTGAAAAGTGGGGGTATCCACTTAATTCACCATTGCAGGTTATTTTACTGTTAAACACCATGGATTTTGGGCACCACAATGTTCAGAAATCCCGATATATGTCAATCCATGTCAATATCTTTGGTTTTCCGACACTTCTTCATTTCAAAGCCGCTCTTGGGCCTGGGTTGCGCCGTCACTTGTGACCAGTTTCAAATCTTTAGCATTCCAATTTGCAACCACACCCATGACATCCAGCCGCAAAGCCAGCTTGCTGCCCAGAGGCTTTGTTTAAGGCAGCCTTCAAGTGTGGTTGCAATTCGTTTCGCGCGTATCTGCTGCGGACCACAACATGCAACCTCAGACGTTACAGAATCAACAGCATGCAATTCTCAATTCACACAGTTGCTATCTTTGGGTAGTTGGTGTAACATAACTATGGAAAAATGGCCCATTTGTCCATAATGTACTCATTACACTAAAAATGGTAGTTTCCATAACTATCTTAAATCACCGGCGGGTAAACTCCTTTTGAAGGTTTCCTAAAATGGGGGACAGCATAATTTGGGATTGTTCCGTTTCCTGGGTAGACAATTGCTTTTTGGGTCACCCGTTTCAGGAAAACCAATTCTCGTTGGTTCAAATGTCAGCGATTCATGGGGAATGAATTTATCCACAGCTGGGGGACCAGGCTGGATTGATCCATAGCCACATGGATTAGAGAACTTTCACTATAAGCAAACTCAGAAAAAACAGTGGAGATACTGTGGATGCAAGAAATCCTACACCAATTGATGCTGTATCCCATTATTTATCATGTGTCAACCTTTTGGTGGTGCAGGATTTCCTCCATCCACAGTATTTCAGCAACTCTCAGCGATTCGGACGGCCAGGAACACGCATGCACCAAAGTTCTTGGTCTCGCTGGAGGGAGGTCGTTCTTAATCCCGGGTAGTTAGCCTCCTACTTGGACAAAAAACACCCACATGTGTTCTAAATTACACTTATTGTCGCTGACCAGTTGCTACCATCCGGCAATCAAACATCGCAAGTTCATCAACCACGCGGCCCCCCACTGAATCGATGCCTAAGGTGCACACCCAAATACTCAGGTTGTCATTTGTATTTATTTATACAAAATTATATCCAACTCAATCCCATCAAGTCATATTCAGTCCCATGTAATCCTATGAAATCCTCATGAAATCTTCTTAAATCAACATGATTCCCTACTAAATCTACATAAAATCCTAGGGCCAGGCTGTCATCAAGCAGCCATTGCAGGGGACAGTTCTGCCTGCTGAGACTATTAATTCCTTCATGAAATCTCCATTCATCCTTGAAAAAACCGACATGAAATCAATGACATCCTATAAAATATCACCATAGAAAATCCTCATGAAATCCCTTTGAATCCCCATAAAATCTCCATGGACATCCGAATAAACCACCATAGAAATCCTACCAGTAGTGCCGCACAATTCGGTGGCGGAAGTTTCAAAAATAGGAAACCTATAGGAGAGGTTGGTTGCTGTGAATCACGGATGGCAGAACGAATCCACGGATGGACCCAAAGGTGGTTGGAGTTGTGTTTTTTTGGAATGGTTGCAATGGTTCAGTGGTCACCTGGTCAGTCACCTCACCCACAACTGCTGGATGTAGTGTGGTGTTGTGCAGCTGTAGTTGTAGTTGAAGTGTAGTGGAGTTGTAGTTGTGGTGTAGTGTAGTTGCAGTTGCATTTGTAATGAGTGTGGTGTAATGAATCGGCCCCGCGGGAAATGATTACAATTAGGTGGTGTAATGAGTGTAGTGTAATGTAGCGTAGAGTAATGTAATGTAGTGTACTCTAGTGTAGTATAGTGTAAAGTTAGTTGCGTAGTTGTAGTTGTAGCTGTAGTTGTACTTAGTGTAGGGTAGTGTGGTGTGGTGTAGTGTGGTGTAGGGTAGTGCAGTGTAATGTAATCAGTGTAGTGTAGCGTTATGTAGTTGTAGTTGTAGTTGTAGTTGTAGTTAGTGTGTGTAGTGTCATGTAGTGCAATGTATTTAGTGTAGTTGTAGTGTACTTGAGTGTAGTGTAGTGGAGTGTAGTGTAATGTAATTAGTGTAGTGCAATGTATTTGGTGTAGTTGTAGTTGTAGTTGTAGATGTAATTAGTGCAGGGTGCTGTGTACATTTTGACTTCCACATGTGCTTCGCGCCACATCGGCGTGCAATTTTCCATCTCTGCACCCGCCGCTTTAGCGAGCCTACTTTTCGACCCTCCGGAGACACAAATCATTGGAAACACACAGTGTTTCGCGACTTTCCTTCCTTTTTCGCGTCCTGTATCTTCTTTCGTCTGACTCTTTCTTCTGACTCTTTCTCTTCTCTTCTCTGATCTTCTCTCTTCTTCTCTTCTCTCTTCTTCTCTAGTCTTCTCTTCTCTTCTCCTCTCTTCTCTTCTCTTCTCTGACTCTTCCCACCTCTGCTTTTCCATCTGTCCATATTGTCGGAAGTTTGACTTCTAAACTTCCTTCGATAAAATCACCATGGTTAAATCACGTTAAATCCCCATTACATCTCCATTACATCCCATCAAACTAGCTATATCAACTATGAACTCCCCTGAAATCATATTAAATCACCATAGAAATCATGGCTAAATCCCCGTGACATCATATATATGAAATCGGCAAAATCCCTCCAAGCAACGGCTTCAGCACCTCTTCAGGGACGTCTGGCACGGCCTCGTAGGCGTCGCCGCCCAGTTGGATCTTGGCGTTTTCCAACTCGTTTTGCAGATCACCTGGGCATCAAAATGGGCGATTTCCATGGGATTTCCATGGGGTTTTGGTGGAGCTTTCAAGGACATTTCATGGACATTGAGGATTTCATGGTGATTTAATGGGGATTCTTGGGTTGATATAGCTAGTTTACTGGGATGAAATGAAGAAATGGGGATGCAATGGGAATTTCATGCGGATTTAATGGGACTTCATGGGATGTATTTCAGTTTCATGGGGATTTCATGGGGATTCTATTATTCTTTCATTGACAGTAGCATATTGTCATACAAGGACCGTAAAACCAATCTTCGAAGCCATCGGGGCCGGAAGGATATTTATAGGCCGCTAGGCTGCTAGGCCGCTAGGCCCTACACTTATTCACTCGGCCTTCTGCACTTTCACACAAGGAAATTCACATCCCGAATCCCAATCTCCGTTGCACTTGAAATTCATTGCAGACTATTGAAAGGGGAAGAAAAGAGGAAGAACACATTTACGCCCTTCAGTGCAAGGCACCCAAAAAAGTAAACAACTCCTTCCCGGGTCCTTCCCCTCAGCACTTTGACCGCATTTTACACGGAGGACGTTCCTAGGTCACCCGACCACGCTATGAGAAAACTCCAAAATTCTGTCAGGGCCATGTAAAATGAGGTCTCAGATCATGATCCCGAAAGATGTTGGAGCAGAAGTGCTGGCCATAACATAAGGACCATGGAAAGTCAGTAGCACAGAGCCACATAGCATTCAATTTAAACATCATGAAGCCGTTGAATTTTAGGGATATAACCAGTAGATCCAATCATAGATCGTCTCCCATCGGGGTTTATGGTTGTGGATACCCCTAGCAGCCCTGGGATGATGTTGATCATACCGCAGCCCAACATTCCAACATTGCTTGCGACGGTGACCATGATGACCCTCTTGGAACCCATTAAAAGACCGGATCCAAGACGCGCAAACGATTTAAGAAGGACCCGATCACATTGCCATTAAAAGACCCCTCCGATCCTGCGGCATGGCGGATGGCGGTGCACACCGAGTGCCATGGTGCACCATGATGAAGTGCCGAAGACATTTTGGCCCTCAAAAATGCAATTTTTACATGGCCAATCTTAGATACCCTGGAAAAAACAAATGACAAACTCTTAGCTGGTGAAAGTAGATAATCCCATTGATACCAAAGACTAAAGGATTAGTTTCTACCCATCCAAGATTGACCTAGTTTATCCTAGTTTACCCTCAAAAAATGCAATTTTCAATGGGAAGAATGATGATGTGAGGAGCTTTCCGGCAACCAGGTCGATTTGGCGATCTCAACTCTCAACATTTGTGAGCCCAACTCCAAGTAGGAGAGCCCCAAACAAATATGTGGAATTTGGTGTCATTGAAAAACACTGAATGATAGTGAATATAGTATCATATTAATGGAATTTATGTAGAATATTCTGAATACTAGTGATCCAAGAATAATGATCATTGGATGTGGATAACATTCTGAAAAACTAGTCATCCAATGATGTCCAATGATCACTTTCCGGCATCTTTTGAGGTGAAAGCTGCTATCATCACATAAGTTTAGGGACATCACACCAACCACATCACCACATCATTCCAGCAGTGATGCAGGCGAAAGTCGGACAACAATCGGCCAAATCTTTTAGGTTCTAATCGTCAACCAACCACAATTCGTTGATGGTAACCCGAAAACAACAGCGCATTTTACCGTGATTTAAGTGGGATTTTCATGGATGTTCATTTTCCAGCCTTTTTTGGGCAGAAAGAACACCTTTTTTTTCTCCAACCCAACTCACCCAGGTCACCCCGGTCACCCAGGTCGCCGTGTCGCCACGGCGGCTCCTTGAGCCATTCGTTCAGAAACGGACCAGTAGCCGTGGATTTCAAATTCCCCTTCGCTTCTTTGCTTCCTGGGGATGGCTAGCTGGATGGTTTTCATGGGAAAATCCGAGAGAAAAATGGATGATTACTGTTGGTAATTAGCCAAATTTGGACTTGGGGTGAAGTTCGGGTGCCTTGTACAATAGATGCCAACTTAGCCCTTGAGTGGTATAGCCCAAAAAGACCGAAGCCGTTATGGTGGCATCACCTTTGTGGGCTGGTTCCCCGCAACCTAACGGTTCCGTTAACGTTTGGGAGATAGCATCCAGTCTCTCGTCAAGCTGCACTACATCCAGTAGGCTCTTCGCTTCTTCGTGTTTTTCGAAGGTGGCATACGCCTGAAGGCACAGCGATACGGCAACGCACGGAGCCGCAGCAGCAGAATTTGGTGAAACATGGGGATTTAAGTATTCCAAAAAGGCATTTGACTTTGTTTGGGTTGACCCGGAAATGGATGACCCTAAGGGATGGACATAAAGCATTAGACATACATCAAATATATATATATAAATAATTTACATAATATGTAAAATGATAATGACATACAATGATATATGATGAACAATGATGAGAAGCTATAGGAATTGGGGGTGTGCGAGTCTTGGACAAATTCACATGTTAAGTCGGGAAAAAACACTGCCTTAGCCCCTTTATGGGGATCTCTCGGGCAGCCCAAACTCACTGATTTAAAGGCATTCTTTTTGGAGTAAATTGCATTGTTGGCTTATCCCTCATTTTCAGTCTCACCCACCTCATATTTTTGAGTGTATCCCCACGAAACTCAGCATGCGCGCCATCCATACCATCTCCCTCATTGAGCATTGGGGGTGGGATGATTGGGATGATCTATCCTCATGGTTAATTTCTGGTAAGATTGGTGATGCTTTATGAATCCTGTCCCCCATTGTATGGCCCCAAAGATGTGATTTCATCCCCTACTAAACCATGGTTTCTGGGGGTGTATACTCGGAAGGGGGGAAGGGATTCATAACGCATCATGAAAATTTCAACAGAAATTCAACATCAAGTTTTTCAACATCAAGAACTGTTGGTATTTGTACCACATTGAATTCTTGGCCATTACCGCAGTAATGAGGCACCTTGGATCGACGTTCGCCAGGCAGACGTTCCTAGCGTTGGTTCTTCAGTGCCAGGAGTCGAGGTTTTCAATTAATCGAAAGCTGCATGTAGTTGAAGAGTATAACCTCCTATCATCAACGGGGTTATCGGTTTAATTGTGTTTAATTCACACTCAACTATTGATATCTCACAAAAGAATGTAGAGTAATAGCAAACTCCCCAGATACACAAGTTGGACACCTGGAATTTATGACGGTTTGGATCATCTGTGTCGCATCCTAAAGGGACATAGCTGGCATCTTGTCGGAGACTTTCCGGCATCATTTTTTTTTGGGGGTTGCATCGGGTTACAACAAACTGTATGATGTGGTAAACCCCCCCAAAAAAACAATCCCCAATTTATATCAATTTTTGTGGGTGATATAAACAATCCCCAGATGGTGGTTGTTTATGGGATTGGCGTGAAACCACATTATATGTTTGTGTATAACCCATGTAACTTAACTACAGTTACTATAGTCTTAATCTGTTTTAATCACCAATGAACCCCAGCTATTCTACATTATTCCCATATCTACAAGATAAAGTTGTACTAGCCCGGTTTACTAAAACATCCTGGTTGAGTATTGGATCTCGCAACCCAGATGGTTAGACCATCACCATGTTTTAAAAAGGCTTTCATGGGAAGAACTATGATACAGCATCAACTTAGAGCGTCGCCCATTTTGACACGCATTTAAATGTGTATTTTTCTATTGCCATAGCTGATTATTGGGACATGAAGCTGCCTGGGTGAAGCCATTACACCTTTCCTTGGGCAAATATGACTAGCAATTCGTCCATAGAGAACAAACAAATTTGTGTTGTCCGCAACTTACTGAACGGTGTCTAGTTGATACACAAGTTGAACATTTCTTACATCAACTGGTATGAGTCAAGTTGTTGGGGTGCCTGTTGGCCCACAAAAGGTTGGTCTTTTGTAGGATCTATTTTGAGGGGTCAGATTTGACCAGTAATATCCCGCAATGCTGCCATGAGCAAAGGAAACCTAACGATCGGTGAGTATGAAGACTACTTGCAGGCTGAAACACTCTTGTGTCATATTCAAGCAAGGGCTGCAGAAGACACATGTGATGTGGTTAATCCAATATGTCATAAACTATCATCAATTTTCCCGAACATGAGTAGTATAAACATGAATAAACAATCCCCAGCTGGTGGCCTAACTGGTTTTTTCACATTACATGTGTAGTGTCGCCCTGGACAAATGAACCTTAACTGATTCATGAGAAAAGGGTACCCCCAGAAAGTCATTGCATCCAAAGGTGCGATTCAAAATCTGTTAAAACTCAAGATGTTTACCAACCCATTCGCAAGGTCTGATCTCTACACCACACATTTCACCGGAAGAGCATGGTTGCTCCCAACACGGGCAGAATATGGGGTGACAAAGAGGTCAATGATAAATTTTCCCGCGTTGTGGCTAACATTTACCACGGGCAAAAACCAACCTTGATCATCTTGGATGATATTTTCTGATCTTGAATCATGGCCAATCTTAGGACACTATGCAAAAAATAACAAATTCTTAGCTGGTGAACGTAGAAAATCCCATTGATACCAAAGGACTAAAGGATTAGTTTCTACCCATCTAGGATTGACCTAGGAATGCTATTCTTCTGGATGATTTCCTACCGAGTCCTCTTTTGTGATTTGACCGAAACGCCACAGCTGAATGCGTCGCCGAGAGGCAAAATCTTCCAGACGGCCGCCATAGATCGTCATCCATTCACTCAACTCTTCCGCCTCGAAGGGCTGGGTGATAAGGGGCTGGAACCTGGAAGTGATTCATACACCATGTAGAAACAATGATATAGATCACAATATATATATATAATGTGCTTGTACAAAATAGTATATATATATATATGTACATAGATATAGAGTTATATTTTATATTAAACGATATAAACTTACATATGACCTGTATCTATATGTATGACATACCTGACATGTACATATGTATGTATGTATGTATGTCTGTATGTAGCGATGTATCTATGTATCTATGTATCTATATGTATGGTATACACAAAACACGATACATATGAATAATATGTCTACAAGCAAACATGTATGCGATCTTATACACACGACAGTAAGTAAATTCTACATGTATAAAACATATAATATAGAGAATCTGTATACATGATATGTCTATGTATGTCTATATATGATATACAATATGTGTGTGGATATTCTAATAATTGGCTTTTGCTGTGGTTTCCATCTTACTGGGATGCACCCAGGAATGTGTACATTAACATGGAAAACCCATAAACATCCGCCATTTATTTACCATTTTTCAATTGTTTTTCCGTATCTTTTTGTATGTTTTCCCTAATCCTAAGAATCACTCAAAATCCTGGCCCGACTCAAAAATCCTGGCAATGACTGGACATTTTTCTATTTTACACATCCGATTCTCGGTGAACACCCTGGGGTTGTCCAGAAATGTGGGATTTACCACAGAATTACAGGTGGAAGTTGGTGGAACTCCCCGTCGCCGCCGAGTGTCGTCGACTTCAGAGTCGCTGGGGAGATCTGTGAGCCACAGCTGCTTGCTCTTGGCGGAATTCACATTGCACACACCAGCACCTGGCTGTGGATAAACCTCAAAACCTTTGGGGATACATAAAGATGTGGACATGCAATGGTTTTCTGCAGAGAATGATCTACCTTCATGGTGGTTTTTCCACATCTTTCCGGGAGGGCAAATGCTTCTGTTGATGTTTTGCACATGAGCTTCACATGATTCTTGTTGGAGGGGTCGCAATCAGCGTGTTTAATCTTAGATGTCTTAGATATGTTGTGCGAAATATATCATGACTGTAGCTGGGTAGTAGCAATTCCTTTTTTTTTAACACCCATTTGTGGCAACAAGTTGAGTTCATCCCATCCCCCTGAAAACAATTATGCACAGGTGCGTGCAACCAACACTTTATTCCTTGTTCCCTTGGACATCTGAAGCTGCGAACCAAAGAACCCAACTGTATGAGTTCGTCGACGTAAAACCTCAATGGGGGGCTGCGTCGCCGAAAAAACGGGGGATGAATGGGGTAACATACTTCATCACGCCTCAGACTGCAGGGGTCATCGCCACAACCATACCCATGGGTGCGAGAAAAAACGACTTTGTTTGGAGCAACTGTGACACAGTCAGTTGGATTTCATGTTTCAACATGACCGAATTGACTTGTGTCCAACCATGTTTCACAGAATGTCCAAACCCAATCAAATCATGATTGCCACCACTGGTGTATTTACAACGTAGTTACGGATAACTCATAGTATCTTACACTCCCATCAAAATCTTCATGGCATCATGGCGGATATCCACTTTCCAAACATTGGCCAGGAACACTTCTGTTTTCATGTCCTCCTCCTCTTGCCATTCGGCCTCTGCCGGATCCGCTGCTTCGACCGGAGCGGCCACATCCGAAGCCTCGTGGCCATCTTTATCCCAATCAGTTTCTTCGCTCTTGGTCCAATCATCATTTTCGGCCCAGTTGGCCCAGTCTCCATCATCATTCTGATCATGCGCCTCGTACCCATCCCACCTTGGAAGCGATCTAAGGGCCACCAACACTCACTAACAGAAAGCAAACATAAAAACATTCCCAGTTGATTCCACATTTCTTGTGGGTTAACTAACCAATGGACAAAAATATCACGTCATAAAAAATCATCTTCAGCCCAAATCACTGGGCTTCCTCAGCCTCAGGTTCCTCAGGCTCTTCAAGCTCTTCAGGCCCCCCAGGCTCCTCAGCCTGCTCAGCCTCTGCTGGTTCTTCCCAATCTTCTTCCCAATTCTCCCAGTCATCCCATTGCTCTGGCTCTGCCCATTCTTCCGCCGGCTCAACCGGCTTGGGCTGAACCTGGGACAGAACAATAAACCAGCGAAAAACATGAGTTCCCCAATCCTAGTGGTTTTATCCAACGTCATGAGTTAAGAACAGGCTGTGGTGAGCTGGGATGAAGGAACCGGCTACATGCCCGAATGAAGAATATGGCAAGATGAAGATAGATAGATTGGAAAGAAAGGACAAAAGAGAAAAAACAAAAACAACAGGGAAAAAACAACTAGAATAGAATAGGGAAACATAGCACATAAAGAAGTGAGAAAAAGTGTTATATGGTGTGGTTTGAGAACTTTCACTGCCATTGCAGGCACCCCAGCAAAACATTTTCTGACGGCTGGATGTTGAAAAGCCGTCCCACCAAGAAATTTGATGTTTGCATATGCATTGTAAATTCCAAGCATCGACGCGGTCTAGACTGCTACAGCCACCATGCACAGCTGTTGCCCGCTGGATGTTGAAAAGAGTTGGCCGGAACAAAAACTTTACATATTTGCATGCCATGCAAACGCAAGTGCAAAACCTTGATCGACACCTCAACCTGCACATGCACACCTGATGCCACTGTGAATGTGTTAGTTATTTTGGTTTTCAACATGTTTCTAGGCATTTCCGGAAATAAAAAATAGAAATTAGATGTTGAAAACAGCTTTGACAATGTGCCTCTCCTGGAATCCAGAAGTCCATCGGTTCGCCATCCTTCTTTCCGGAAATAAAAATGGAAATTAGATGCTTGAAAACATTCAGTGATTGAGTGTCAGCGGCCTTCAATCAAAAGGATGATGCACCTGAAGGTGTAGTAGCCTTTCGTTTGTTTTCGTTTGCCGGCAGTTACCCCTGCAACCAGTTGGCCAGACCAATCTTTGTCTCACATGTGTATTCTGCTCTGTGGCTTCGTGACAAGTAAAAAACCATTAAGTAAACTTGCATAATGTGTCACAGCGCCTTGGCTGCCAGAATCATCGATTGCTTTGCTCGCAGCACCTTGACAAAAGCTATCACTAGCAGTTCATGGCACGTACGCATATCACTGCTTTGAACGGATTTACTAAACCAACAAGACATCAACAATATAACCTTTACCGGCCTTCATTACGCGTCGTGGAAGGTTTCGCACTGGTTGTCTCAGCGGTGCTTTTCTTTGTCGGTTGAACTCCTCTCAACATTATGGCATGCCTTCCTCGAACTCGTTTCACTGCAGTGAGGAAAGAAGAATCTATCGAATGTTATCAAGTACGCTTGCAGATATCAAATGTTCATCAGTGCACGCTTCTGGTCTACTTCCACCAAATTGTTCCAAGCTGTTCAAGTAGCATATATATGAATATATCACCAGTGGCTGGTAACGGTGGTGGTGGTAGTGGTGGTAGTGCAGGCCATTTTGCCAAGCCTGGCCGCTTGAAAGTAACGGTGTTAACCGAGACTCTGAAGGTGTGGCATCACAGTATTGCACGCCTGGCTACATCTTGGAAGACTTCAGAATTGCAGTGGTCCATCTCCTTTTTTAAACATGGCTGACTGGCTATCAAAAGAATTCAAAAAGATCACTTCCTCCTGGAGCAGATGGCCAAGGTGGCACGTCCGGAACTCCTGATGCATGCTGCATTTCTTGACGTCTTTTCAATGTGCAATCAATATGTTCGAGACATCTTGGAAGACTTGCCGCTGTGATTCCTATGCGTTGCCAAGTCTGTGGATAGCGTGTCTGAGAGTAGCGCTCACCTTGGTTCATGGCTGATGAGCTTTGAGTTTTCCAGCTTCCGCGCTTGATGTCTCGTCGGGACCAGGCCGGTGTGTTGCGCTATGGTGCAATTCTATGATGCTTTCAGGAGCAATCCAACCGAGGACCTTGGTTGATTTGTATATGCAGACCGCAGACCTAGATTCTAAGGAGCAAAACAGCAACGTCACAAATGATAATTTGAGCCCTCAACCGTGGACAATCGGTTATAGGAAGCTTCGGTCGTCAGGGCCATGTACCCTGTCGGTTGTCTTCCTCCTTGGGTGCAAAAGAAATCAAAATGAAGAAAATAAACTCTCAAGCAACTCAGTGCGCTGCTGTGACAGGTAACGTACTCATCCAGCAACCGTTCCAGGTACTGTTTGGTCAAGTGGTTTGGGACCTTCCCCACAGACCACATAGCTGTCCGTGGGCAATGCTATTGACGGTCGCGAGTATGTCACTTGCATGCAAAAGAGAAATGGAGCAATGTGTTTATTAACATCAATCACATCTTGAACTGCTTTGAGAAACCTGTCGTATGGCAATTTCGCTCCGCAGCGGAACATGTGCCCGTGCATTGAATGAAGACACGTGTTGATTCTGGCAACTTATGACATGACTACATACTGATTCGACAGCCCTTCCAACAATTGAACGCCTGACCAATGTTGAGCCAAAAGTTCATTCATCCCTGAGAAGAAACAGATTTCAAACGGTGTGCTTTGCGCATCGAAAGCTTTTCTGTTTTTGACACAGCTGAAACAATTTTGAAATGCGGTAATCTTTTGCGTCGTCCATCCTGTGATATCGAAGGCAGATCCTAAAGCATTGAGGACATATCGAAATTGCCAAGCTGTTGTCCTCTTCTCTACGAGTTGTTCTCTTCGGCTTAGAGTGCAGCCTCTTTTCGGAGTGCAGCCTCTGACATCCACTCTGCAAGACTTGGCTTCTTTGCCGCCTTCTTTGCGGCATTCTTGGCCGCTGGCTTCTTTGCCGCCTTCTTGCAAGCCTCCTTGACTTGGCCCGGCATTGGAGGGATATCATATTCATCTCCAAGTGGGCCCACAAGATGTCTTTCTGTTGCCTTTTCGGCCGCTGGGCTCTTGGTGGGCTTGGTTGCTGGCTTCTTGAAAGCCGATACACGTGGAAGTTTGGGATTGGCCTTTGTCTTGGCCTTTGCCTTGGAAATTAAAATCGTTCATGAGGCCTAAGCTGAAACACAAAGATCAAAACAAGTTCGAAGCAAAGCAGCGTCAGAAACCAAAAGACGCACAGAATGATATCTGGACTGTGGACTTGTCATGTTCAACGAAATCACATATGAGACAATTTTCCAACTTAAGACGTGCAAACCAGCAAGTCTTTGGACATATCATGAGATGTGCATTTGCCTAGTTCGTCGGCCATTTTGGCGGACGCTGATGCATCGGCTGGCTTTGCCTTAGCCATATTCCTTCGCTTAGCTTCCATCTCTCTGGTGTCCAATGTTGGTATGTAGATGGTGGATCTGGGCGAGTGAAGTTCTCATTCAGTGGTAGCTCAGGACACCAATTCGGGTGGCATGCCATTTTGAGGACAAAAGTCACGTACTCATTGTCATGATTTTCTTGTATTTTTCGAAGAACTGCTTGGATCTCCATCCGGGGAATTTTTCGTTGAGCACACCTTCAATACTTTGGTTCGTGTCTCCGACTTCAAAGGCACCTAGGCGTCCTAGGAAGGTCAAAGTGATGTCTTGACCTGAATCTAAGACCGAAAATGTTGCACATATAGGTGCAAATATCTTCGGCAATGTCTTCTACCGTTGTCTTCCAAGCCCAGCCACCGTATATGTACTTCCAGAATGTTTAGAGTTTAGAGAGACTTTTTGTCTGGTGGGCTCAGATTCATGCTGTTGGAATTGCGCAAGCATTCAAAACGCGAAGAAACGCTGTGAAACTTCTGCATGGGTTCGAGGCTGCACTGAATGATAAGGGGTCTTTGCCAATCTGCCCTTTTTGTTCCTCTCCAAGATTCTGGCTGAGGAGACCGTGATCTCATTCTCTGATCCACGGTCGCGGTCTGAGTCGGCAACCAAAAAGGGCTGAGTCGGCAACCAAAACCAGTCTGAGTCGGCAACCAAAAGCGCTGAGTCAGGAACTATGAGTCGGCAACTAAGAAAGCGCTGAGTCGGCAACCAAAAAACAAACATAGTTGGCAACTAAAATGAATGCAAAGGTAAGATTGCAGAGACTCCGCTGTCCTCTAAAATGAGGCGGCAACTCCTACTCCAGAGCTTCCGTTCTCCTCTAAAATAGAAACATTCCGTCCCTCTCTAAAATAAAGGAGCAGCTACTACTCCAGAGACTCCTTTCTGCTCTAAAATAGAGTCAGTAGCTACGATTGAAGGCCCCCTTCTCCTCTAAAATAGTGTGCCATTCTGGGTTTGCAAGTGCCAGGGAACGTTAATATCCCACCCCACCCCACCCCCCCACCCCAGCCCTGGTTCAACGTGTATGTGTGCTAATGTTTGCGTGCCGTTCTTGAAAATTTTTGGTTGCTGAAAAGGTCTGTTTTTAGCTGCTGACTCGGACGTTCTTGGTTGCTGACTCCGGCGTTCTTGGTTGCTGACGCAAGTGTTCGTAGTTGCTGACTCGGTTGTTTTCAGTTGCTGACTCGTAGTTGCTGATTCGGTTAGTTGCTGACTCGGTCAATGTTCTCTGATCCGCCATATGTACGGCTAAGAAAGAAAGTTGAGTTGATGCTATTGAGTGCACGAGCAAGCATGCTGCACATGTGATGTATGCCTCGCAAAGATGGGACACCCCAAATGATTATTGTACCTAAGAAATACGGTGGATGGGAGAATTCCTGCACCACCTTGAATGGTTGAAACACTAAAAATAATGGGATAAACAACCTATCAACTGGTGCAGGATTTCTTCCATCCACAGTATGTTGTATATATATATATATCTCTCTCTCTCTTTGCTTATTTATTTATTTATCGAAGGAAGTTTAGAAGTCAATAGAAGTCAAACTTCCGACAATATGGACAGAGGAAAAGCAGAGATGGGCAGAGTCAGAGAAGAAGAAGAGAAGAAGAAAGACGATAAAAAAAGAGAAAATCTAAGAAAGAAGACCCGGGTGCGTGAAAAGGTAGGAAAGTTGCGAAGTACTGTGTTTTTCCAATGATTTGTGGCTCCGGAGGGTCGAAAAGTAAGCTCGCCAAAGCGGCGGATGCGGAGCCATGTGGTCAGATGAGAGATGAAAAGTTGCACGCCGTTGTGGCGCGAAGCACAGTTGCAAGTCAAAA